TTTTTTTTTTTAGTAATGGTTGGCAAGGAAACTCATGTCTAGCTGGGCACTTCCTGATTACATTAGCATAGCCCATCCCACATCGAACGAACGCCCAGCACGACCTCATTTTAATGCTGGATCCAGGCCAAAAGCATAAGCACTACACTGGATATAAAGAGGAGAATGATTGCAAAGAGAACCATAAACTGTAATAGGACTGGGATATATTTCTGTACTATGCTGACTATAAAACTTTAGATATTTACGCAATTGAAAATATACTTAGCAAGCAAGCAAACAAATGGGCTGTGTTTCTCTTCTGGTCTGAAACTATAATCTGATAGAAGATTCACACAACTCTGATTGAAATTCCATAGAGGTGGTTTTTTTCCCTCTTCTTCACAGAAAAAGGAATATACAAAAGGAAAGAGGAAAGTAGAAATAAAGCATGACAGGAACAAAGAAAAAAGAGGAACATGCCATATGGAAGAAGATCCACGCCTTTCGCTATGAAGACTTCAAACTCTGGTGTGTAAGCAGGCTGCCTCTTTTGGAGTGGGCACCACACTATTGTTGGAAAATGGACCTGCTCCCTGATATAGTTTCTGGGATGATGTTGGCAGTTCAACAGGTGACACAAGGTACTGTGTTAAAAACTGTGTCAGCGACTTGTATTGCTTAAATTGAACTGCTCTAGCCTTGAAAGTAGAAGTTCTGTTTACCTACTTATTCTTTTTATTTTTAATGAAGGAGATGAGCATCTTTGCTTTTTCAAACCTGGATCTATCACCTTACAAACCTTTATGTTTGCCTTGAACATCTCCCATTATATTTAATGGGATGTATTTTAGGTGATGTTAGTTTTAAATGGGAATAATTTCTTCCTGATTAACTTAAAACAATATTATAGACTGGCAACTGAACAACAGTGTACCTCTCTAACTTGCACACAACGTTGTTCATACATTTATATGTACACAGGTACACATATATATTCATTGTGGTGGTTTGCATGATAGATGTAACTTGTCTTTCCATTTCTTCTCTTCATATCTGTGTAAAGAGATTTACCTTTGTTTTTTTATAAAAGAAAGGCCCACTTTAATAATAGATTATTACGCATCCAGTTAAATAATCTTGTAATTTTTATTTTATTTAACTATGGTTAAAAAACTGCATTGTGCAACATTAAAAAGAGAACTGTAGATATCTATCATTATGCCTTTTGATGTAAACCTTTAGTGAAAATACTTCTGCTTTAGGTTGAAATTATACTGAAATAGTGTGTGTGTGTGTGTGTGTGTGTGTGTGTGTGTGTGTGAATGTTGTAAAACACTATTTTATGAATATTTAGTAATTTTCCTTCTCTTGCTCAAACAATATGAAAACAATAAAATACTAAAGAATTACTTCAAACATTATCTGGTATTCCTTTGAAAATGGCAACCTACAAGGCATAAATGTTCTGGGTATAAAAGGCCAAGGCTGTGATGTCTTATTTTTAATATTATCCTGAACTACCCTATAACATCATCTCCATGATGTCTTTTCTTGGAAAACTAAACAAAGATAGCACATCAATTCAGTTAATCACCATTGATAAGAATAATCCTGGCTTATATATAAGGCCATTTTTTTTGCAGGTGATAGTTCAAAAAATGCTACAATAGCTAAAGATTTCTCACAGGGCATTTGGGGGAATTTCTGCATGGGTTCATGTATTAAAATGGAATATAAATCATTCAGAAGCAAAAGCTTTCTGATGGCTGCTTTTCTCAGATTTCCTAACAGCTTGCTCTAGTTTTCATTCATGCCTTGAAAATTATAAGCACTTCTTTAATTGAATTATTCTGCAGCTGGAATCATCCGGTTTGTGTATGTACTTGTGCTTTTGGAGTAATTAGTAACATCTGCATTGGCATGTTTTAAACTGAAGGCCTTAATACTGTAATACTACGAAGAATCTTGTTCCTTGATATATTGATACAAAGAATAGCACATTAGTAATGATATTTTAGAAGCCAACTAAAATAATGAGCTTTTAAAAAAGGCAACATGGGTACTTATTTCTGTCCTTTTGGTGAACTTCCACAGAACAGGATTTTTACTAGTTATGGCAGTTTTCCACAATTTAATTATTTCCAGATGTGCTGGGACTACAACCCCCAGAATTCTCAGTCAATGAGAAAGGCACCGCAGGAATGGAAGAGTTAAACTTTAAAAAAACATAAGCGAAACTGGGAAAAAAGTGATTTCCTTAAAAATATAGAAACTGATTTATGTACTTAGATTTATCTGGTTCTGCACCTTGAGTACTCAGCAGAACAGATGTATTTGCAGTTGTTTACAGCAGTCCAGTGACCAAATTTTATGATGGCTGTACTGAAAATTGGCACTTACTTCCAATTTTTGGCAAAACTATGTCCATAGCAAACCATGGTGTTTGCTTAATGAGTCCTGCAAAAAAAGTTGTAAAATTAGGATTGTCATATGACCAACTTATTTTACAAATGTCACAACTTATGACCTTAATGGGCAGACTCCATTACGATCATATGTTGAGAATTACCTGTATATATGAATTAGCAGCTTTTTAAAATGAGCACTAAACCTGCTGCTTTTATGAATGAGCTAGCCCATGCTGTATGATCTGAACCTGCCATGTATGTGTTACTGATACCAATAAGTACATAACTGGGTTTTTACCCAAAAAAGAGGTTTTATGTTTGTAGCTTGTACTGTTTTTATTACTTTGGGGAGATAAGCAGAATGGCATGTCCTTTGCTTCTGCCATGTGCTGTTGCTGACAGCAGCAATTGTTCAGAACAGGGCTCATTAGTTATCAGTTGTTTCTTTCCATTTCTCTCTATGCTTCTTGACAGGTTGCAGGCATAGAGATGGGCATGGGATAAAGCAGGAGGGAACTCTATAGGAGAGAGAGAACCTCCAGTGTGTCTTGCAGTCCCTTCTCTGCCCCTGTGATCTGTGAGATAAGTGTTTCCAAAATGGCCAGATTCTCAAGATCTGACAGGTGACTAACTTGCTATTCAAAACATTCAGCTGTACTTGCCTAACTGTGCTTTACCAGCCTTGTTAAGGAGAGTGATTGGTGTTTGTTTTTCCTACCTGCAGTTGATGCTTGGTAGAATCTGCTAGTTGCTTTCCTCAACTTCCACATTAAACATTTTAAGGATAGCATCACTCACTGGCCTCATTAATGAGGCAGTCTAGGGCTCATCCATTGGGACTGCATAATTTATGCTAACATATTTATCTGCCAAATCGAAAACTGGTGGATTGAAGAGTGCAGTTCTCTGGCTGTGCCCTCTGACTGGCAATACACTTCACAGCAAAAATTTAGTTTCCTCAGCTGCAGTCTACAGTACCTTTTTCATTAAATCTGAAAATGTCAGGTGTTAAACCTGGGAAATTTCATGAAAATCATCTACTTTACCACCACATTGGTTTTTTAACTGATGAATCGCACAAGTTACTTATATTTAGCTGGTACTCTTGAATCTTCACATGTACTGCTGCCAGGTCTCCCCAATATGGTGATAATGCATATGATTTTTCTTATTTGGATACAAAACCATCGACTATCCTTCTGTTGAATTTAGTCCACTGTTCAAGCGGCTATTTCTTTCTAGGTTAATGCAGAACCATGATCTAGAATGCAGGTTAATGAGCTCCTTCAGGATGTCTTTTGTTTAACCAATTGTAAATCTGCTCACCTGCAATACTGTATGCTGGTCTGTAATAACTCCTTTATGTATCTTGCCCATCAGGATATCATATGAATCTTTTCAAATTTGTTTTGACATCAAGGTACATTATGTCCATACATTATCTTGATCTAATAAATTAACCAGTCTCATGTAAAAATAAGTACGTCTGATATGATTTACTATTGATAATCTCATGCTAACCTCTGATAGTAATAATTTTATCCTTTCCTAAAATGTTCATGGTTGTGCTGCTTGACAATCTGTCCTAGTAAATTGTTCTGTACAGATGTTAAGGTAACTGGTTTGTAGTTTTCAGGTTTCCCTTCTCCTTTTTTGAATATTAGGATTATGTCTGTTCTCCAGTTTTCTGACATCTCACTTGTTCTCTAGAGAATACCAGTCAGTGATTATTAGATTACATCTGCCAGTTTTCCCAATGGCTGGAATGTAATTTGCCTGCCTGGAGGAACATTGTCCATGGGGTCGCGATGGGTCAGACATGACTTCGCAACTAACAACAACAACAATTTGTATAGGGTAGCAAGGAGACTACATCTTTATAGTTTTGGCACAGAATGTATAATATTTAAAAGCTAATGAAGTACAAAGAAAAGTTAATGTGAGATGATGGAATGAAAATAGCTCAGATATTAATTCTCAAATCTGCGGGTTGCATAAATGGGTTGCAAGGATATTCCCCTTTAAGAGGCTGATAGAACTCTCTCTCCAAAAAAAATAAAAAAATAGTAATGTCAATTGGAGCAGGTGAAAAAAACATATAGAAAAACAACTTATTCATTTTGCCCCTTGTAGTCAAATCTCAGTGCTTCAACTTTTCACACCTTTCCTGTCTATCAAGTGTCCTCACCTGAGTGAGGTTTTTAACTGGATTTTTTTAATCAATGTCCTAAATGTGCACTAAGTTGTTCAGAATTGTGGTGCTCCCACGTGATGTTTAGAGGGTTAAAGTGGGTAGGGCCAAAATCAAAGAGCCTCAGATTAAATAAGCCCCTTATTTATTTATTTATGCATATCCCACCTTTATTATTTTTCATGACTATCACAATCATCTTCCTGGGATGCCCCCAAACCATCCACCAACTTCCATCATACTCTACCCCAGTGGTTCTCAACCTTTTTAATGCCGTGACCCCAACCGGTCGTAAGTTGAGGACTAAACCGGTCGTAAGTCGAGGACTAAACCGGTCGTAAGTCGAGGACTAAACCAGTTGTAAGTCGAGGACTTTCCCTGACCGGGAGCGCCGCGCATGCGTGGTTCCGCCCCCTGTGCTGGCTGAGGCGTAGCTGGCAAGCGGCAGAGACGGAGCAGGCCGACCACCAGCTGGCCCAGCTCAAGGGAGGTAAGGCACCCGCCGGAAAAGGGGAAAAAATGGCAGACAGCCATGCTTGGCGACCCCCGTGAAATGGTCGATCGACCCCAAATGGGGTCGCGACCCATAGGTTGAGAACCACTGCTCTACCCTAGTTCCAGTGGTAACAACTAGATCTTTATGGCCTTTTGGAAGTCTAAAAGGTGGGGGCCTGCTGGATCAATTGGGGGAGGGTGTTCCACAGGATGAGGCGGCCACAGAAAAAGTATGCTTCTTAGGTCCTACTAGATGGGGATGTTTCAGGAAGGGACCTGGAGCATGTACCAATTAAGAGATTGAATATATATTTAAAACAAATTTAGAAGATTCCTCTTGCTCTTAAGTTATACCTATTTAAACTTTTGATTTTTTTTAAAAAAATATAGAATACAAAGCCAAATTCCAGATTATAAGAATGACTAATGGATCCTTAACCCATGATGTTGTTTTAAGTAGATTTTTTTGCCTTTGTAGTTATAACCATGAATATGGGCAACATGGAAGTATTTCTCTGCAAATTGCATTGGAGTTTGATTTGGCAACTGTCCTGATTACCACAGCCCTTTTTCTGTTGTTGCTTGTGTCCTAACTTCATTAAAGTTCATTATTTGGCATTTTCTGCCACTAGCAATAATACAGCCAGAGATTATTTTCTTGGCAGGTATACTATGGTTAGTGGTTAGTAATCTATCATGTAGTACAGCAATAAGTAGTAGCATTCTAAGTATTCCAAGATAACAAAGGAACGAACATATTGTGTATTAACTTCACATTAGCATGATATTCTGGTGTACACTAATGGATTTTTTTATTTGTGCATTACTTTCTCTCTTTGCTTTTCTTTTATACAATTTATATAAATAATGTATACACTTTTCCATTATGTAATTTAGAATATTCATTCACTCGTTTAGATCCTGAAAGAATAAGTAACTTTGCATGTTTCTTTATTTAGACAGAACAAGGTGTAACTATAATTTGTTTTGCTTTTTCACACAACTCTGCTGCAACTACTTGTCCTTTTATTTTTTTTAACATTGGCTTTAGGGATCTGGGTTGCAAAAATATGGTAAAAAAACATAGGGCTAGTTTAAGACATGGCACAGCCTTATACATACAAATATTGGAATCTGGCGTAAGTCATGCAATGTCTGTTTGCAATGTCATGCAATGCCATTACTGCTTCCAAATGACATAAGCTTTAAAGGACAGGGAAAAAAATCTTTTAGTAGAAAGGGCAGATTGCAGGAAATGTGAATTTTCAGAGTTATAATATAACTATTATACCACATGGCCTCTTAAAATAGCCCTAGAAGGGATTTCTTCCCATCAAAGCCCTTTGTCTGAAACGATATAGGGCAGTGGTGGCGAACCTATGGTACGGGTGCCAGAGGCGGCACTCGGAGCCCTCTCTGTGGGCACACGCACCGTCGCCCCAGCCCCGCCTCCTCCCATGGCCCCCTCCTCACCAGCAGCCCCCCGGAGGAGAGTCGCCCCTGGGCCTAGCCCACATGAAGCAGCGTAGCCAAGGACATGGTACCTGGGCAGCAGAGACAAGACTCCACCCTTGCGCCCCGTCGCACACAGTTGATGCTGCGGGGCATAGGCGGAGGGCGCGGCCGCCATGGCGCTGCTGGGCTACCTGGGTGATCTGTGGTGGGCTGTGGAGGTGGTGGGTGGCCCAGTGGGCACGGCGGAGCGGGGACAGGAGTGGGGGGGCAGTTTTTGGGCACTCGGTCTCTAAAAGGTTCGCCATCACTGATATAGGGTTTCCTGCCTGAGCAGGGAGTTGGACTAGATGACATCCAAGGTCCCTTCCAACTTTTTTATTATTACTATTATTATTATTATTATTATTATTATTATTATTATTATTATTATTATTATTATTATTATTATTATTATTATTATTATTATTATTATTATCATTATCATCATCATCGCCATCATCATCATCATCATCATCGTGGTTTATATTATATCTTGTTCTCCCAATTTACCTTTTCTACAGGGCTGGCTTTTGCTATTCTATCATCAGTGCATCCAGTGTTTGGTTTATACGGATCACTCTTTCCTGCTGTTATTTATGCCATATTTGGGATGGGTCGTCATGTTGCCCCAGGTAAGTTATTTCTAAGTCCTAGTGATTCAGTCTGAAAAACTTAGCCTATGTCTTTGTTAACTCTATTAATGTTATTTTCTATTTATATTCTGCGGTATTTCTTACAGTATGAGTTGAACCATGTGCATGCACACAACAGATCTACACACTAAGCCAAAATCAAGCAGAACAAATTGTATCATAGTGCTACACACAGAGAAAAAAATACATTTTTGCTTCTTCCATGGGAGAATAATATCTGGTTGCCTTCTCTGAAAGCTGCCCAGTACTATTCAGCTTCTATTCTTTAGTAAGAACCCCTTGCAGATTCATTGACTGCAAATGGAGCCTGTATTTCAGCATTGCATAATGAGTTGGATTCTTCGTAACTATGTTGTTCAAGTGATTGAGTTAGTGATACTTGTATTAACATGACTGTTCTAGTGATTATGATTTCAGTCATGGACTGTAGTTTAGAGAAGATAAAGAATGCATCCCAGAAACAAGGATTTTTTTTGTCTGCCTCTCTGTACTTCCTTTACATCAACATTCTTCCCTTCCCCCCTTCCCTTTTTTCCTTTTCCTTATTTATGAAATTTGGGGGGAGTATGTGAAACAAGTTTAAAATATCCAAAATTATATTTCCTTCTTAAAATTCCTGTAGTTGAGGTATAGGATTGCTATGCACTTTATACGATTAAGTCTATAGTAGGTTCATGACATCCCTTATTTCTCTCTCTCTCTTTTTCTTTTCTTTCCTATGAAGTTGTCCATATAACTCAAAAGCGTCGCTCAACGTATTAGCAGTAGATGCCAACGTTTTAGGCTGCGCTCTTTCTCAGCCCTACTTAGAGAGAGACTCTCTTGCTTACAATGTATACATCATTCTTACTTCTTTCTTCCCTTTTGATATCTTAGCATGTAATGAAGTTCAACAAGCCTGGATCATTCAGGCTTGTTGCATTATTCTGTATTTCATTTATTCTGAAACAACGACAGTCTTCAACTTAATAATTAAAGACATTGACTTTTTAAAATGTGAAGCAGGTTTATTTCCTAGAAGAAACCATCTGGTCTGAGTTGCAGAAAACAATGAAGCTGGATATGGGGCCATGTCTCCCATAATTCAGTATGGGTTGAACTTGATGTAGGAAGGTAAAGAGTTGTGTCTTTCTGATATTAGGGATGGTGTCTCTCCACTTAAAATTCAGAATTGTATGGAACCACACACAAAGCTAAACCCTTTGGGACTGAAAAGCTCAACTATATGCACATTCTCCTTGGTTATTATTATGTTTTCTGAGAAGCAGTTGTTTTCTTTTGAGTAATTGTGTGGGTCTTTGCAAATAGCCTATGTGCCAGAAGTGCATTCAGCATTACATTTAACAACTCTGTGGGAGCCATGTGGTCTACTAGGATAGCAACATCCCATCCAAAGTACATAGAATTTGCATCGGAATGTATCCAAAGCATTTTGTTAAAGCTCTCTTGCCACTTACTGGCAAGCTGGATTTGGATTTTGTGGTGAGTTCCTTGGAAGTGATGATAATGTTGAGTCAGCAGAGTAGATGTTATGTAGTTATTTCATTTTAAGTGTAAAAATTGCCCAACTGGGACACGATGCACTATTAGTTTCATTAAAAAAAGGCATTTATACGATCTTATACTTTGGAAAAATGTTGGATGCACTTCGATATTTTTTTAAGTGGTAAATATCTGAGCAGATGCTTACAGATTCTGCTGTTACAGTATTTAGTTTATCTTTAAATGAAATAAGAATCACCAGGATGAAGAAATTCTGTTTAAAGGCACATTCTGAATACAGTAGTGAAAACAGTTAAGCAAATATTAAAATAAATTTTAATTGTTATATTTTCTTAAATGATCTATTTGTTCTTTAAGAATGTGTTTGTTGTAAAAGTCTCAGATATACCAAAGATGAATAGCCCAAGGCCTCAGGGCTGTACAGGGGCTTCAAAATCCTTGACTTTACTCCTCAAGATCTTTAAGAATTACCAAATTGTAACTGTTTGACAGAAGGAAAGGATGGAAGGAAGGAAAGGAAAGGAAAGAAAAGAAAAGGAATTAAAGAATGACCATATTAAGTATATTTGATTTTAAATATAGCAAATGCAAATTAAATTAAATCTTTCTATGACTTTTTTTCTAGGGGTACCAGTTTTCATAATTTTCATACTGGTTGGCTATGCTATAAAAAATTGTGCAGTTAATAAGCCCATCCATTAGGAAGAGGTCATATAGGAAGACATTATTGACTGATGGATGCAAATTCAGTCCATAGAAAAGGGAAAGGTGTGTTTGCAGGCTAAAATATTTGTCCACCTTGGTTTGTATTGTGTGCCTGAAGTCTCTAAAAACTGAGACAGAAGTCTTTTCTATTGCATGTTGTTTCTTTTACACATACAATCAGCAATTGATTTCTCGTGTAAAGAACCAGTTTCTACCTATTCTAAACTATTTCTTTCCCCCTTATTTTATGCTAACATTTATGCAGTCTAGATCACTGCTGGACATCATCCCTGGAAATATTAAAAAAATATTAGACAAGCTTCAGCACAAGGATTGCATGTATTTGCAGTCATATGACTCATGTATATACAAAAAACTGTGAACAGTTTGTTGCCTGGAATTTGTATAATGTACAATGGAGTTATCAATATGGAAAGAGGAACCATATAAAGGTGATGTTTGCAGAAAGCAAAATGATGATCAAGCTATTCTCCAAAGCACCTGAAGGGAGGGCAAGAAGCAATGGATAGAAACTAATCAAAGAGAGAAGCAACCTAGAACTAAGGAGAAACGTCTTGACAATTAGAACAATTAATCAGTGGAACAACCTGCCTCCAGAAGCTGTGAATGCTTCAACAATGGAAGTTTTTAAGAAGAGACTGGACAGCCATTTGTCTGAAATGGTATAGGGTTTCCTGCCTGAGCAGATGGTTGGACTAGATGACCTCCAAGGTCCCTTTCAATTTGATGTTGTTGTTGTTGTTGATGATGATGATGATGTTATCTATTCAGTCATGTCTGACTCTTGGCGATTCTCTGGGCCAGGTCTCTCCACATCTTCTGATCTTGCTCTACTTCTTTGAGTTGTTCTACGCTCTGGCTCGTGTCAGTTCTGATGCTGGAAAGAAAAATACGCAGGAAGACTTAGTGCTTATCTGGTATAGCTATGGCATACTGACAATTAGAATTCAATCAACCGGTTAATCAATATCACCATATCTCACAACTTTTGGCGGTTCAAAATGTTTATAAAACATATGTTCAAAGAATGCATGTTAAAATTAGAATTAGTTGGACATAGACTGGAATCATACAGCTATGGTTTATTTAACCATGTTTTTGTTGAATGTGCTATAAATGAGAAAGATCAAACATCATAATAAGCCATATTTAAATGCAGAGATTGGGCTCACACAACATGTCATGTCCAAACCAAGCAAACTGAATCATGGTTTAGCTGTAAAATATGTCTTTTCTCCTAAGCAATTAGAGTCATGTGATAGGGTTTAAACAAATGAAAACCAAATCCTCTTTCTTCTTTCGCAGGAACCTTTGCTCTGACCTCCTTGATTTCTGCAAATGCTGTTGAGCGTCTTGTTCCTCCCATAAACACCAATTTCACTTCAGAAAATACATCTGAAGTATTGGGCTTATCTGAGTTTGAGATGCAAAGGATTGGAGTTGCTGCAGCAGTTTCACTGCTAGGAGGGCTGATTCAAGTAGGTTTTTCAGAATAGCCAATTTTATAACTAGAAAACCAGTTCTTTCACTAAAATAGTTTCCAGGAGAAGCAAGCCAAAGGAGAAGGATGTATTTCCACATGATTTGGGATTATATTTCACATATTAAGACATTATTTAATCATGGTTTGTAATGTAGGTTGAAATGTACTTCTTTCACTTAATACAATAAATATAAACATGGCGCACAAATCACAATATCTAGGGTTTCACAACACACTGACTCAAAACTGAACAAAGTCTGTTTGGTGAGAGTAGATAATGGATGCATTCCAGAGGTTAATAAATTATAACTCTGCCATTCTTAGGAAGGATAGCCAATGATGAGGTATGATGGAAGCTGTAATTCTCAATATCCCGAATGTCTCTGCTCTGCATACTTTTAAGACAATCCTCTGGCTTAGCATGATTTATAACTGACCAATGGGGTGACTGTGTTCCAGAAGAAGTGCTGTATCAGCAGTGTTAATTTGGATTACTTTTGTACATGAAATGAATGGAGAAGCCATCTTCTCCTTCACCTTGCATAGCAAATGTTAGCGTAGGGTATAGCTGCATGTTCCATAATTACCATGCACAGTTTCATAAAAAAGTCAATCATCTCAATAACTCTAGTGACTTTGCTTATATCATTTATAAATAAGCTCAAATAATCAGTTGCACATATGCTCTTATATCTGGAATTGATAATTATGCTTCTTCCATTTTCCTGGTACAGGTTTTGTCTTTAAAAATGTGAATATGTGAAAGATGAAGAATAATTTGTGTTGCTGAATGTTACATGTTTATCTTTAAGAGTCTATGGCAAAATGAAAATGTCTGCATGGCTCCTATCCATAGTGAACTATTAGACTATTCCAGTTTTGTAATGAAAACAATTTTTATAGAAATTTAATAACATATTAAATGAGTCTCAGACGTTTCTGCTCATATGCTTTCTTTCTGGTCAGTTATAGGCTTTGCAAATTAGACAACATCCAGCTCAAATCATTTATTGAATTATGAAACATTTAGAACTGATTTGGGAAAAATGTATTTGTGTAAAGTCATCTACATTGGTTTTAGAGGAACTCAGTTTTTCAATATGAGATTCAACTGAATCACCTTTGAATGTAATATCTGAATGAAATGTTATTGTAATAGAAGTTGAACATATATTAGCAGTAGAACTGGCTGTCTGTTTGTTTTCTACACTAGCTCCTGGTGTGTTTAAAAGACTTATCATTGCTTGCTGATAAATACTATCAGAAGGAAAACATATTTTATTCTCACTGAGCATGAACACAAAAACTAATTGGTCTTTTTTGTTCTAATCTTTGTTTATCCAATGGAGAGATAAGGCATGCTTTTGAATTGACCTACAGTGGGTACAGAATTCTGGGAAATCTTTATTTCTTTTCAGAGTTTTATTCAGTCTTTCATCTCTCAGTAGTTTGGGCCTTTTTCTTTTCATCTTACTCTCTCTTTTTTCATCAGCTACAGCACAACTTCCAGATATCTCTAGAGGTTGATAGCATATCATAGTTTTTAACACGGCAAAAGGCAATTGTTAAACACATGTGATTGGAGAGGGATCATATTCACTAATCCCTGCTGATATTTGCTTTGGACACCATTTTCATGGCTAACCTTGTTATGTGAACCTGATCAACTGCGGCTTGCATCACAAATCATGTTTTAGCTGTTCATAGCCTAGATAGCGCAGTGCACAAACTGTAAATAAAGTTTTTGTTCTAAAGGAAGGTCAATTACAAAACTTGTCAGGATGTTCTGAATAGCTGCGTTCATGCTCTGCTGAGAGTTTTCTTTTTCTTTTTAAAAAGTATCAAATAATTCAAGCAAAGGTCAGGAGCAAATCTAAGCTGCTAAAGCTCTTGACTTTTATTTCCCTGAATATGATCTTCATATTTTAATTATGAACAGGTAGATATGTGTGTGTGTGTGTGTGTGTGTGTGTGTATGTTTGGGTATGTGTAAATGTGTATTGCATATAAATAAATAAATACATAAATACTATCTCTTGGGGGATGTTTAATAAAATTCAGATAAGTTTTCCATCAGTGTAAGGGGCCATCTCAAAAATGGCTTCCTAATCCAAACTGAGGAATAGATTGAAAATGTCAAAAAAACCCTCTGCTTTAATGAACTCACTATTCAATTAGGATTGGAGGTTATCAACACACATTCCAGTATTCTGCACTTTGCCTCTAATTATTGCCTTATTAAAGTCTGTGTGATTCTTCTTTCCTTGATTATGCCCTTAGTGCAGGGCTTGACAAAACTATCTACATCACAAAGCTGTTCTGGAGAAAAATGAGAGGAAGGTGTCCATGTGTACCACTTTTTTCATTCTTGAAGAAAAGGTGGGGTATGCATCTAACAAAGAAACGTACAGACACAGAGACATGGACACACACAGAGAGAAACATAAACAGACACAGACATACACAAGCTGTGGCTCTTCTATCTCTTCAGTTTGTGATGTCTAGAAATCTTAACTTTTTACATTTCAAATTTGTTAGAGTCTGAATTTTATAAACTGAATACAGTTAGTCCTCAACTTACAATCATTCGTTTAGTGACCTTTCCAAGTAACAAAAAAATGACTAATGGCAAGTTTTTACACTTAGGACCTTTGCAGCATCCCCATGGTCACATTATCAAAATTTGGGAGCTTGACAAAATGTATTTATGACAGCTGCAGCATCTTTGGGTCATGTGATCACCATCTGTAACCTTCCCAGCCGGCTTCTGACAAGCAATATCAATGGGGATGCCAGATTCAATTAATAACCATATGATTCACTTAACAACTACAATGATTCATTTAACAACTGTAGCAAAAAGGTTATAAAAGGGGGCACAACTCACTTAACAATAATCTTGCTTAGCAACAGAAATTTTGGGCTCCATATTGGTTGTAAGTTGAGGATTACCTGTATAGTAACTTTTAAGTGTATCCAGTGTGACGTCTGTGGCTTAATATTTGTCCTACCCACAGAGCTTTGTACATTGGAATAACCTAAAGCCAATTTAATACAAGTGGCTAGAGCCAGTTATTATAACTAATCTCAGCACAGAGCCTGGTGGTAAACTAGCAATACAAGAGAGATAGCATTGTAATAAATGTATGAAAGTTAACATGTATTGAAAGGTTATTCATGGGTACAATGAGTAATGAAATAACTTCTACTTGATTAGCTCATGTAACTTTCTCATCCCCTATTTTTTTAAAAAAAATGCAAGATAGCGTTTCTCTTTCCTACATTAGAATCAATAACTGCCTTTGGTTGTAATCTCTATTATTTAATTTCTGGTTTCTCAGGTAGCAATGTTTATGCTACACTTGGGCAGTGCTACCTTCTTGCTAACAGAGCCAGTGATAAGTGCAATGACAACTGGGGCAGCTACACACGTTGTAACTTCGCAAGTGAAGTATCTCCTGGGAATGAAAATGCCTTATATCTCAGGACCTCTGGGATTCTTTTATGTGAGTATATTGATAAATGTTTGTTGTGGTGTTTTGCACATATTTGCCTGCTTATTAAAGTTGCAGGAAAAGCTCTAAATATTGTTGTGGCCTCTTGGGTCAGGCCTGACTTGGTTACCTCTAATTGGAGTCAATTCTGGATGCAATTCTAGATTTGCTATCTGATGCTATCTGGAACTTGACAAGAGTTCTAAAGCCCAGCCACATTCTACTGACTAGTCTTCAAGATGCTATGTAGATGTATGAAGCAGAAAACATTAATATTTGTAAACAACCTATCATAAAAACTACAAGGAAATTGATAATGCCATCTGGCGGTACTGATTTACATTTATATTGAAAATGTAATTTTTATTCTTGTTCAGCACACAAAAGTATACAATATAATAACAAATAAGAAATAAATGCAGGAAATAACCCCAGTGAAATGCCCTGGGGTAATAATATGTCCATCAGTTATTTCTTGGTGTCCTTCATAACCTTTTTTATTTTTAAAAAATTAAATTAATAGAAAACCAGCATGCTACAAAAGTAAAGAATCAGCCTCAATTATGATTTCAATTTTACAACAATGTTTCTGGTCCCACATAGACCCCAATGAATTCTTTGAAAATAAAATAATGGCCCAGTGTCTTGTTTGCCTTTTGAGCTGGTACATTTGTGACTAGTCATGTCTACTTTGTCAACTTTTTATAAGGGTAACAATAACATTCACTCAAAATTCCAAATATCTCCCCAACTCAGAAAGATGAAAAATCCTTATCTATATGCTTCATCTCCATAATAGAAGTTTGTCTGTATTTTGAATATTTCTTGTCATTTTGTCTCACGAAATAGTTATGCCTGTTTGTGTTTTCTACTGTATTCATATTTATTACTAGAAATACTGTACTACTATAAAGAAAATCATGATGTAGATATGTGTATGGGTTCCAGAATCTGATAAAATCAAGCAGGGTCACATAGATTCCATTTTTACCCTTTTTATTCAGTTTACAGAGACAGGAAGAAGCAGTGTGGATATTACTGAAGTCTTATCAGAGCAGACAAGCAAAGTGTATTTTGGTTTACTAGCAAATTTTTACTCTACATAGTAACCAGGAGACCAACCACTGAAATGTAGAAATATCTCTTTAGTATGTAGGTCTTTAGTTATTTACAGATTTAGTAGTTTACAGATTTTCTACATTCAAAAATCGTTTCCATACTCCATCTTCCACAAACAATGAATATTTAGGATCTATTCTCAGGTGCATATACAGTTCATGAGGCCTCAGAACTGTTGGAAGCTGGTATATTTGAATTATAGGCCGGACCTGTCAAACATCCAATATAATTTGATTGCTTCTCTATAGAGGAAAGAAAAATACTCACAATGGATAAAGTATCTTTTATGAAGCTTTTTTGCATAACTGCTCTTGTCACTGACAACCCCCACCCCAATACTAGAAGAATCCAGAGTTTATAGAAGTTAAATTTGTTGGACAATGATTGTTCTGCCTAACTGCATCTTAAGTCATTTAAAAAAAAATAGCAGCAAAGGATTAAAAAAATGTGTTCCATTTTTTGCTTTTTTAATGGCACAAAAATCATGCTTTTAAAATGTCATTTTTTTAATGTGGCATTTAATATTTAATATATTGGCCAAAAGTAGAGTCTTCATTTTTATTAGAAAAGTTATTTCCCTTTTAAAGAGGCCGCTCAAAGTCAGGGGAAAATTTCATGTGCTGCATGGGAGTGGGGCCAGTATAAATAGTCCTCGATTTACAACAGTTAATTTATTGACTGTTCAAAGTTACAAAGGCACTGAAAAAAGTAACTTATGACCATTTTTCACAGTTACAACCTTTGCAGCATCCCCATAGTCACGTGACCAATATTCAGATGTTTGGCAACTGGTTCATATTTATGACCGTTGCTGTGTGCCAAGATCATGTGATCCCCTTTTATGACCTTCTGATAAGCAAAGTCACTTAACAACCGAGTTACTAAAAACAAATTTGACAAATACTTCCCTATTCTGCTCAGTTTTTCTTTTCTTTTAATCCATTTTCTTTTAATCCAACATAATTACAGCATGTTGCTTTTCTTTACTTTCTTCTACAATCTTCATTTTTTTTTTCTTTTGGCTTAAATGTTCTTGGATTTCAAAGAAAGAATTATTATTGTGAATAAAATGGAGATAAAGAGCCCTAAAGAAAACAAGCCAATAAACATTTTGTTTTATATATAATAAGATCATAATTCAACATGAACCATGAAATGTATATGGAGAGAACCAACCTATTCTGGAGACCCCTTGTGATTAAACATCACAGATTTATATAAAATCCAAAGTGGTTTAGGGTTGCAACAACCCTAAATAAAACATTTCTTTAATATGTATTTTGTCTGATGAGGTCGGTGCTTCTATTATGGTTCTTTCTGTGTGCTACAGATTCAGAAGTATCCTCTGACTCTGTGTAGCTTTTTTGTTGCATGCACCAAGTAAATTGTTATGTACTGAGACTGTTAGTTCATTAGTATAGCTGACATTGAGTATATTATTAACTTTCTAAGATCTGAGACTGGATCTTGGGATTGGCTCTAGAAATTTCTTCAGAAAAAGTTATTCTCTAGCTGTGGCCCTCCATTAAGTATATAGCAACTGTGGAAAGTGAAAAGCTAGAAAGAGACAAAGAGGTATCTACAGAGGTGACATTCTCAATTTTGGGTCATGTACTGAAAGTATTATTGTACATATATTGAGGAAAAATAGTCATTGGAGCTTCTTGTATGGATTATGGCAGACTAGATGTGGAGACAACATTATGGCTGAGAATGCTATCTAGAGCGCAAACATTGGCTGTGAAAACTAGTCTAGATCAAGGAGAGATTGTGAGATAGCCCTTTGTATTCTGGACAGCTGCTCCTTATGAATAAACTGTAGAAATAGAAGTTTTAGCAGTCACTTGGCAAGTTGAGCAGCTGGGAATTGTCAGATTCCATCTATGCTCATAATCACAGTGTAGTTGTCAGTTCATCACAGAGCTGACTTTGCAGTCCCCTTCTGGAAGCACAGAGTTTAGCACAATGGGGACAATGGAAGTCCATTATAGTAATTGTGGATGTTATTTTGTGATGGTGCTCACAGTTTATTAAACCAGAACTTGTATTGATTGATGAGCACAGCAGATTTTTTGGGGTGGAAATCAGTGTACATCAGGCTAAGACTTTCATACTGGGAATTTATTCTCCAAATGAGGACAAATCATTGTCTTATAAAAACATATGGAAATATTAATATTTTAAATATTTTTTCTTATGAAAATTGGTTTTTACTGATTTGATAACTGGAGAGAACATCTTAAGCTTTAATAGTAACAGTTGTCTATGTTAACAGTTAACAGAAATGGAAATAAAAATTAACTATGTAAAGCAAAAAACCCACCCTGTTGAAATTAAAAATAAACCTGGGAAATTACTGATGTATAAATATTAATACACAATTGAGATCAGAGGTTTTTCTTTTAAAATTGATAGACAAACAATTGAAAAAATGTCGTGGAAATTTATTTTTGTATACAATAAATGCATCAAGATTATTGTATGCACAAAGAAGGAAACATTTGGTAGTACCCACAATGGAGGAATGGTTGGTGATGATGATAGAACTTGACAAGATAACTAAATTGACTTCTTATTTAGAGAAAAGACAATATCTATGGTCACTGTTGACTTTATAGACTTATTGAATCCTTATAGACTTTTTGCATGAAACAGAAAAAACATGACTTATGATTTGGATGATTAGGAAAAAGAGATAATAGAAAAGAGTGTTTTTTGTTGTAATAATAGATTAGGACAGTGGTTCCCAACCTTTTCTATACCCCGCACCCCTAGAATGCTTCTGAAATACAGTATTCTTGTTCGAAATAACGGCAACGAATTATGAATATACACTACAATTATATATATATATATATGGAAAAATATGAGCTCATTCCAGACAGGTATCACACTTACATGGGAAAGAATCATGTCACATCCATTTTTCAAAGTACCTGTTTCCAGCTGTACTTGGCTATGCAGAATGTGGAGATATGCAATATTAAAAAGAAAGTATACAGCTTCCAAACCAGCTTTTTCAAGACAAGGCATGGCAGGATTCCACTTGACAGCTGAAATGCTGTATAGCACATTTTCTGAAAATAAGAACAAGCTAAACATATATAAATAATTCTTTAACAGTGAATGTTCATATTTAGGACCCGATCTCTTATTTTTCTTATGAACAAATTTCTGAATTAGATGATTCAAGTCTTAGATTTAAATTATGTTTGTAAAGCAATTTCGTTCTGAATCAATGTTGTGTTTGGCTGCCAAATGTTGGAGAAAAGCACTTTTTGGCAATTTAATGGGGACTTTTTGCTTGTAAAATTGGATTTGTTAGCATAGGTTCCAATCTTTTGAATAAACCTGTTTGCTTTGATAGCTGCACCCATTTAGAACTTCAACCTTAATTGCTTTTCTTTGCAGTTATACCTTTGGCATGCTAACTTTATGGAGTCATTTATATGTCTTAGCATGCACTATTCAATAAATGGCTGAATTATACAATTGTTGGAGCTCTAATGTGCATCTCTGTTGGGGGTGTACTCTGCCAGCTCAGTCTTACCATGTTCATGAGCCATTGCTTTAGTCTCGTCAGAAAATGTGTTTGGGCTTTCCATTCTGAAAATAAATTTTGATTTGAGGTTCAGAGATGAATTTGCTTTTCTTTGATGATTGGATGAATGTCTACATTAGTTTTGAAAATATTATCTAAGTAACAGGTGATTCTTTTTGTGTTGCTGTGATGATCTGTTGAGTTGATTATGATTTAATTAAATGTCAACAAGGAACATATAAAAACTTTGCTATCCGTTGGTTTCACCAAGTGTTTTGCTCAAGGGTCTTATTGCATTTTTGCTAAAAAGTCCAAAATTCTCTACAACAACTTGCATGGGCTGAGAAAGTGATTTTATCGCTCTGTAATTCAGTTCTGGAAAACTAGAAATGGCAGTCTCAGTTTCTTTGTGTTGTTGGGCAAGGGCAATGGCTAGTAAGAAGAATAAGCAGTAAAGCTTGATGTTAGAGTTCACAGCAACCTGCAAACCACCAAATTACCTTTTTATTTGTAGATGTCATCTTCACTGTAATTATCATTAGGACTCTCTCTAGGTTGATTTTACAGTCTGGAATGATATAGTGTCTTCTGCTTGAGCAATGGGTTGGACTAGATCTCCAAGGTCCCTTCGAACTCTGTTATTCTATTTTGTTCTGAATTCCCATGGAGCTTTTGTCTTTGCTTGGAGAACCTTAGACCCTATTTTTGTGTGTATTGAAGGTGAGCCTTAGAGCTTGATATTGCTGCCTTTCTTAAATTAGGCCTTGACTTGTTTCTCTGCCATTAATGGCAGATTCTTCTGTAGCTCATTGGGTATACAGTAGGTACTGATATTCCATGCCATAATATTGATGTTTTTAAAATTAATATTAATTTTGGAAACTGTTACAAGCATAGTTAACTCAACTTACCATGTCAGTTGTCTACCTTATGTCTTTTACATATTAAATAGTGTATATTTGTGTTCACCTAAACCAGGGGTCCCCAACCTCCGGTCCGTGGACCAGTACCGGGCCGCGACATGCCACCAACTGGGCCGCACAAACAAGAAAAGCCCCATCCACAGGTCCCTGGTCCCCAAAAGGTTGGGGACCTCTAATCTAGACTTCTGTAGGTATATAAAGCCAATATTAAAGATTCATACTGTATTCCAGAAGATTAAGAAACCCCTTGGAAATTACAGGAAAGATGAAATATTTAGCAGAAATTAAGCCCTTCTCTTTTCTTTAATAAAGATTTGAACTGGACATGCATCTCTTCAGAAAACAAAAGAAACTCTATTATTTGTGGAGGGCATAACTGGATCTAATTTATAATATTCAGGATTAGGTGTCGGTATCAGTAACTTCTCCATATCTGAATGTATCTTTAACTATTGCTTATTTATAGGGTATGATCTTTCCTTCCATATAGATTTATGCCTACATTTTTGAAAACTTCAGATCCATTCAGTTGGAAACTGTGCTATTGTCTATATCTAGTATTGCCATACTAGTTCTTGTTAAAGAGCTAAATGAAAAATTTAAGAAGAAAATTAAAATAGTGCTTCCTATTGATTTGGTTCTGGTAAGTATAACTTTTTAATAATTTGCTACAGTTGTTGGCACCTTCTGCTTATTTCATGAAATAAATATTTAGCATTGTAATGATGTTATGATAAATCTGCTGTGAAGCAGTTAGAACAGGGGTCTTCAAACTTGGCCCTTTTATGACTTGTGGACTTCAACTTCCAGAATTCCTCAGCCAGGTACTCTACAGGGTACTGTTGTAGGAAGAAAGGAAAGAGTGCTATGCTATGTATCATTTCTAAAAAGAAAGGCATGACAAAAATTTACAAGCAAGCTACAACATGACAAGCAAGCTATAACTTTATTTTATAATATAATATACCACGATATAGGATAATTAAGGATTAAAATTCCCAGGAAGCACCATAAATAAATAATTTTAGAAAGCTTGACATTTTTTAAAAAAAAAATCTTTTCCTTCTCCCTGTAATAATCAAATAAACAAAATGATGTTGATAAGCAGCATACCTCAAAGTCCACTGCCACAAGATTTGTATAGTGTTTCTCATAAAACTTCTGAGAAAAACATTATATTCTTATAAAATAAAATGATAATAAAGATTTAATCAATATTGTTTGTGCCCATTAGCGACCTGTCAGGCAATGTTGTGATATATAAGATAGGGTAATTAATTTGAAGAATGCTCCAATTTGTTTCTCATAAAAATGTCAGATGAGCTAGCTACGTCGATACTTTTTATTTAAATCAATATATACTGTGGCTCTGATGTAAAGATGTATAAATTTAATGCCAAATCACCATTTTTAGGCAGGCTAGTCTAGGACTGCCTATGCAGAAATTTTACCATATCCTTCTGTGGGCCTTTTACATATTTAGAAAGGACGAATACACTATGACTATATGACTTGTACCTTTTTTTTTGGTCCCACAGCTACGGGACTCCAGAAAGCGTCTCGGGAAGGCTGGGGACTCTCTTCAATAATATGAGTTAGGATATAAAAATCCTGATGAGTGTGGAGGGAACACCTTTGGAATTCTAAAATATATTAAGACATGTCACAGAAGGAAGCATTGGCCACAACGCTCCCAATGTATTTTCCAAGAAGCTATGTGGTCTTTGGATCAAAAAAGATTCCTTTATGTCTCCCCTAAACCCAACAGATGAGGGCATCATAACCTGAGTTGATAATTATGGTACTCAACAAGTGATCCATCTCATAGATGGCTGTATAATTGGTCTTAATCCATATTTCTAAGAAAGTAGAAAAATAGTTACATTACTTCTTATAATCTTGTTTCAAATCAATCTTTATTGTTGCTTGATAATAGGTAATTGCTACATCTTTCATCTGCTATTCTGCTGACATGGAGCATAGTTTTGGCCTGGAAGTTGTGGGACGTATTCCAAAAGGGTAATGTGTCTTCTGTAAATAAGCTTTTGTGTTTATATATATGTGTCTACGTATAGAAATGTAGTTATTTCTTACCCAGATTTTATAGTCTTTAGTTGTTAATGTGGTCTAATTAATGAAACAGTTGAAGAATGAAAATAAAAGTGCCCAGTTTGCATTAATACAAATGATAACAACATCTCAGAAGAAGAAATTAAATCAGAATCTGGTACCTAATAATTCTGTTTTTAAATAACATATCACTATTGGTAAATGTTTTCTGCATCTCTTTGAGTGCACTTTCTGTAGTTAGTACAGAGAGTTTTCAAAGAGATAAATCAAATGCTTTTAAATTTATACATTCAATAATAAAATAATCTACTCTTTGTTTTTCACTTATGGACTATTCTCTCTTGGGTTACAGATAGGGTTTAATCTTGAATGGAGAAATTTGACATTTAGATCTACCTCTTGTGCCTCCCTGCTACTTTCACAGTAATTTATTTCAGTGTTGGGGAAATTTGAAGGCTGTGCAGTGTTCTCTGCCCCCACACATCCCCAGGACCTGAAATGCATTGAAATAATCAGGAATTGCTATAAATATATTTCCTTTCATTGGACCTTGTGGGGGCAGAAATGTTTTTTTGAAAGGAGAAAAACATAACTGGACAAGGGATTGGATTTATCAGAACATTTTGTTTTCCCAGCACCCACATTTAGGTTTTGTTAAAAGACACTTTAAATTTGAGAATAATTGACAATGAATAAGGTAAGAATACAATTTTTATTAAAAGTTGCGCACAGCATTTGAAAGAGGCGAGTTAAAGCTTTGGCTTCTTAAAAACATTGTGTCCTTTGCATGGCTTGCTTGCCCACTTTATTTCTGTGTCTGTGTAGGTAATCCTGAAGTTACAATCATTCATTTCGTGACTGTTCGCAGTTACAATGGCACTGAAAAAAGTGATTTATGACCGTTTTTCACATGTACGACCCTGTGATCACCTTTTGTGGCCAAGAGACTAGGAAAGTCAATGGGGAAGCCAGATTCACTTAACAACTGTGGCAATAAAGGTTGCAAAATGAGGCAAAACTCACGTAACAACTGTGTTGCTTAGCAACAGAAATTTGGGGCTGAATTGTGGTTGTAAGCTGAAGACTGCCTATACGTGTCCTCCCAGCCACTTTATTTAATAGCAGTCCCAGCAGATGTGCCCTGTTGCGTATACGTGTACTCCCATGCAACCAGTTTGGAGCAGTTGTGGGTCTTCCAATTATTTGGAAGAGGAGTGCTGTGCTCATATATTAGTTCACTTTTTAAAAGTATCTCTTTCAAAGGCTCTGCATGGACCCATTAGTTAATACGATAGCTTTGAGAAAGAAGGCATACAAACATGATATCAACAACACATTTTTTTTAAAATGGTAAAAACTAACTTCAAACTAATGGGGTACCCTCATAACTTTAGAATTTAATGTTTCGGAAAAGAACCTGATCTAATACCTCTGCCCATTTAGTTCAATCCAAACCTGAAAGAAAATAGTTTTCAAGAGTACTGGAGGTTAAAAGATATTTTTCTGTGCAAACATACAAATGGTTATATATTTTTGAAGTGCTGCAAATAGCTTGAAAACTTAGAAGGATAATAGGGAGATTATATAAGATCAATAATTCCAACAAGTTTGGAAGGCAGATTAAATAAGATCAATAAGAATAAGAAAAATCAATAAGTCATAGCTATTTACAACTATATTGATATTTGCTTGTTTTCAGCTCCTTTCCTCCACCAAATATAGATTCCTAAAATAATGGTTATGTGTCATATGGACTTCTGTTTTGAGAAGCATAAGTATAAATATTTATTTCTTTTTGGATCCTAGCCAGTGGCAAATCTTCATTGGTTTTTAGACCTGTTATATATCTAAAATGTTTGAATTCTGATTTCAGAATAGAAAATGGGTTGGAGTTTCAGTTAAGTTAAGTAAGCACTGAAATTATCAAGAGGAAATTGATAATAACAATAAAACTATTAATAAACTTTGTTCCTGGATTCCTTACCGTAATAACGCATACAGGTAGTCCTTGATTTACAAGCATAATTGAGCTCAAAATTTATGTTGCGAAGTGAGACATTTGTTAAGTGAGTTTTGCCCCATTTTACAATCTTTCTTGCCACAGTTGTTAAGTGAATCACTACAGTTGTTAGGTTAGTAATATGGTTGTTGAGTGAATCTGGTTTCCCCATTGACTTTGCTTGTCAGAAGGCCGCAAAAGAAGATCACATAAATGTGAGTCAGTTACCGAGTGTCTGAATTTTGGTCACATGACCATGGGGAATGCTATAACGGTCGTAAGTGTGAAAAACGGTCATAAGTCACTTTTTTCAGTGCTGTTGTAACTTCGAATGGTCACTAAACAAACCATTGTAAGTTGAGGATTATCTGTACTAATGGAATAATTCTTTCACAAAGAATCACTATGGAGATGCCGATGAAACAGAGCAAAACTAATCAATCAACAAACAAGCAAGCTGCAAAGTAGGCCAGTTAAATTATTCTAAAATTACAAAAAAACATGGTGGCATTTGAGATTGAGACTTGCATACAGTTATCAAGAAATTAAACTGATGACTGAGCTAAAATTTAAACTACATAATCCAGATCATGCTCTTAGCCTTATGCTAATATAGAAACAGTTTAACAGTTTTTAAGAGCACAGAACTGAGCACATAATTGATAAATAGATTCAGTCAGTCTTTGTGAATTGGACACGATGGAACAGAACAGCAACAAAAATGCAGTATCTATAATGCATGGGCCTTTGCAGGTTCTAATGATACTCATAATAGTAGAATAATGTACAGTACAGCTGATTTCTCTGGAATATTCACTTAATATTCACAGCAGCTTTGCCACATTCTTCAGTGTGATATTTTCTGCCATCTAAAAGTATCCTTACTTTTACAGTATACCAGCACCAAGTTCTCCACCTTTGAATATCCTCCCTGAAGTAGTGACAGAGGCTTTTGGAGTTGCATTAGTTGGTTATGTGGCATCTCTAGCTCTGGCCCATGACTCTGCTAAAAGATTTAATTACTCTGTGGATGATAATCAGGTAAAAAAATAGCCTTAAAATTTGCCTTCAGGATGCATTTATTTGGGGACGATGGTATAAGAAATGGGAAGGCAAGTGGACTTCAGTTGAGGGTATTTGATTCTATGGGACTTTGGTCTAGCCTCTTCCTTATTTTTTTAAAAAAACTTTTTCAGGAGTTCTTGGCTCATGGCCTCAGCAATGTGATCCCTTCATTTTTCTTTTGCATACCAAGTGCAGCAGCCATGGGACGAACGGCACTTCTATACAACACTGGAGCAAAAACACAGGTATTCCTACTGCCATGATGGGTGGGTCGAGACAGTGGCCTATATAGAATGACTATTCAAATCAGAGAAATATTAGATGTTAATACATCATCATTAAAAATCCTGCAAGTCTTAGTATGATTAAGAACCAGATCAGCATGATAGAGAAACTTTAAAATTTATGGTATTTATTCATTTGGCATTTAGAGCAGAGTCACACTTATAAAAGGGATGTGTCGCTGTAGAAAATAGCAATTCCTTTCCTTGTCTTACTTCTTCGCCAACATGATGCTCCATATGTTGGAGAAACTTTTGACACAAAAATTTCTGATCACATAATTCTTTTTTAATATGCAAAAGAATAGAGAGAGAAAGAGAAAAAAATGACAAGAGCTATTTGTTTTTGATGACAGTTATGTATCTTTCATAATGTATCATCCAGTGTAAAATTCTTGAAGGAAAAACAAAGTTTACTTAAAATGAAGAGTGAATTGGCCACATCAAATACTCTACAGTCTGCAGGGTCCCTGGTGCTCTACCAAACTAGGTAACGCCTTACTCTACAGTAGGGGTCTTCAAACTTGGCCCTTTTATAATGTGTGGACTTCAACTCCCAGAATTCCTCAGCCAGCGTGTCTGGCTGAGAAATTCTGTGAGTTGAAGTCCACAAGTCATAAAAGGGCCAAGTTTGAAGAACCCTGCTCTACAGCTTGTTATACAGCTTGATCATGATTTATTAGTTGTTGCTTGTATGTACACTGAAAGCTTATGCACTGGATACAAATTCCTTGTGTGTCCAATCACACTTGGCCAATGAAGAATTCTATTCTATTCCTAGACAGAGTAAAAGAAAGAAAAAGGGTAACTTCTTTAAGAAAATGTAAATTATGCTCATGCAAATCAAATCTGAAGCATTTTTTTTTAAAGTAAAGACTTAATTCGCTAACATATAGAAACATTGCATAGCTCTGATATTAGTATACTGGGGTAACTAAAGCAGGGTTCTCCATCTGAAGATTTCCAGATATATTAGATTTTCCACCACAGTCAAAAGTCATGGTAGCTTCCAAGAGATGGTTTTGTTATGTATGCATCTGTACAAATGCAAATCTACCCTACATGATTTAAATGAAATGAGGGTGTTCACCAATATCTGTGGATTTCAACATTTATACAGATACAAGTAGACAGTGAACACATTGTTATTTAAAAAAATACAACTTTACATCTTTGAGTTTTCCTCTTTAAAGCTGTTCTTTAGTAGTGTCTGAAATAATATGTGCCACTTTTGTGTTTATGTTGTATATATTGTTATTTGATAGATATATTTTCTTCTTGAGTAATGTAGGGATACCCTATAACAGTGATGGTGAACCTTTTAGAGACCGAGTGTCCAAACTGCAACCCAAAACCTCCTTATGCATCGTTAGGGGCCGGGTGTGTGTGGCCCATTGGCTGGGTGTGGCCAATTGGGTGTGTGTGTCTCATTGGGTAGGCGTGGCTGCCATGGTAACGGCAGACTAGGTGGGACTAAAAAGTTTAATCAATTCCAACTTTGCAAGATCTTTTTTTTTCCTGCGAGAAGTTGAAATTGACTGATTGATTGAACCTTTTTTTTTTTTTGCACACGGCAGCGGAGGCCTAAAGCAAAAAGGTTTTATAAAACCCAGCTGAAGGCCTAGGATTGGGGCGATGGTGCGCATTCCCACAGAGAGGGCTCTGAGTGCCGCCTCTGGCACCCGTGCCCTAGGTTCGCCACCACTGCTCTATAATAGGAAAAAATATTAATTTATTCACAAATGTTTCCAACTACATGAGAGAGCCAGAAGTCTCTTTCTCAGCACTGTTAATTTTGTATGTCTACAGTGGTTTGCTATGCTCAGCAACTTTGAGAAAACCAAGGACTTTTATTTGTAGGTATTTTAGAATTTGAATAATATGATTATTTATATATATTTTTTCTTTCCAACTCTTTTTAGGTGGCTTGTCTGATATCTTGTATATTGGTGCTTGTGGTTATCTATACAATAGGACCAATGTTATACTGGCTACCCATGGTACATTTCTTTTTTTTTCCTTTTAATATTTTTTTTCTTTTAACTATTATTGTGTGCTTATTATTTAATTACATCATCATCATCATCATCATCATCATCATCATCATCATCTGGATTGTATAACTATTTAGCTTAAATTATTATTTCTGAAAATGATCATTCCATTTTTCTTTAGGATTCCATTAAAAAAAAGGATAGTGCTGCATGCCAAGAACAAATATGTGAAAAAGTACTCTTCATTTTGCTTGGATAAGAACAGTGGAATCTATTGCAGGAGCTTTAGATATTGTACACCTACTACATAAGATTAAAATAGGCTGTAAGACTGAACTGGGGTTTTGGGCCCCAGCACAAGAACATAATTTATTTTTCCAGTGCATAAACCGTGAAGCACTTATTTTTTTGCTTAAGAAAGAAAACACTTTTTGTGTAACAAAAGTACTTGCAAGGGAGTTAGGTGAAAAGGAGAAAGGAAAGCAACCGTAGGGTAATTTGCTTCTGCTATTTGGCTGGTTTAGGTTGGATCTGCTTAGAACTTTGATGAGAGACCACTAAAAATCGCTGAGTGATAGGTTACATTGGGAAGTTTTTTTAAAAAAATCCCCAAAAAAAGCAGTGGTTCACCACATCCATATAGCCATTTCTCATATGTTGTTTTAAATTTCTGCTGCAAAGATGTGACAAAATAAATATTGTGGCTAGAAATCAGAATGCACTGAATGTTATCTCCAAGAGCCAACTTTGATTCAAAGGAATTTTTACTTTTTATAATATGCAGAAGGAAATTCCTCTGCATTCGGTGGAGCTTATTTTTACATATGTAAGTGCACTCAAATTGCCGATTCATTCAAGAAAAATCATAAAATCCAAGAAGGTTGTCATGCTCAGGTGGAAGATATGATTGCCAGCAGGTCATTATCTTAATCATGAATTGTTTTTGGTTGGCCACCACTGAAGAAAGGAAATAGCTGGAGCTTATAAAAAATTACTTGATTAATTAATCACATTTATTTAGCAGCTGATCTCACCAAAAGGAGCTTTGCACAGCACACAACAATCTGATAAAAACAAACATCGATCCAATTTTACTTGTAATTATCCGGCTCTTCATTAGGACAATGGGGATTACCAGCTCAATGGAGCTAGACTGGGTTCACCTATCATGTTGAACCATAATCTCAATTGAGATGATGGAGTCCAGACATTCCACATTGCACTGTGGAAATTGTTGCTTGTTGGAAATTGGCACGCAGATATCCAGGGAATGTCCATCTCACCTGTTTTTTCTATGTATTAGAAGTATTAAGCCTTTTGTATTTCTACCTTAGTCCTGAAAGTCCAGAAAAGGAAAGCTGTAGTTCAGATACTGTATGCCTATAGTAGTAAAAAACGAAGAAGAATCCTAAAGAAGTATGGAAAGTAGGTGAATCTGAATATCAGAGCGATCTCTTTCTGAAGAAAGCCTTAAAAAAAAAACTTCAAACAGTAAGAATTCTGGGGCAGGACAGAAATAGCGACATATGGTAGATACAAGTGTAACAATTGCATTCAGGTAAACATATTTAGTTATTTGGTTAATTTTTAAGTTTGCATTATGTATATTTGGGAAAGGGAATGATATATGTATGAACAATATCTGCTCCTGCCTTGTGATTTGCCAGTCCTTTTGCCAAAATAATTCCCCTTCCAGTATAGTGAGCATCTTGTAATTAATCTCTCTTTCATCTCAGGGTGTGCTAGCAAGTATCATTGTGGTGGGGCTGAAGGGAATGCTGATGCAGTTCCGAGATTTAAAAAAATACTGGAGTGTGGATAAAATTGAATGGGTAAGCAAGGTTGAACTTTACTGCATGACCTTTACAGGATATGGAGTAATCTTAAAAGTTGACCCCTTAATCCTTGTAGTGGCCCTGAGTTGCTTGACAGTGAGATGGAAGGCATATACATTTAATAAATAAATCCTCCCTTTTGTGTCCCAAAGGTGCTTTTACAAAAGGCAACTGGACTTGTCTTTGTTTTTATCCTTGAAGACATTTTGCTTTTCATCCAAGAAGCTTCTTCAGTTCTGACAGTCAGAACTGAAGAAGCTTTTGGGATAAGAAGTGAAACGTCTTCAAGAATACTCAAGGAAAACAAAGTCCAGTTGCCTTTTGAAAAAGCATCTTTGGGACATTATTGGGAGGCCTGAATATTGCTTTTTTGATGTCTTTTTCAACATCAGGCAGCAGCTACTACAGGTTCCATCCTGTATGTAGCACTTAGAGTATTGCTGCAAAATTAGCTTTCTCGTTTGGTTGATCATGAGAGTGTTTAGCCAGGGTTTTTGTTTCAAACTGTGGTTTTGATTTTTTGCTGTTCACAATTTGTACAAAGTTTTCCTGAGTCTTTGTTTGTTGTCTCCTTGTCTTCTACTTGAAATTCATAGTTATCATTTTAATATGTAAGTGCTGAGCCAGTCATTTTCCCAGGTTCTATGCCTCAGTGCTTTTGTAAAGTAATGACTTCATTCCAGATGTGATTATAATTTCAATTTGGCAAATTTGCTCTAAGGACTATGCATTGTAATATGATTTATATAGGAATTTGTCCACGATAGAAGAGTTTGAAACTAATCAGACTGCCTCATTCAAATGTCAATTAGTCACCAGAGGATAATTTCCCATCATTTTGATTTCCTTAAAATTCCATATGCTAGGGATGAAGTGGAACTTTGTCATAATTCCTGAGTATTCCAGCTTCTGTTTTGTTGCCTAAACACAAATAGCTGCTTTTTCTGATTAGTATATAATGTTTTACTCAGTGCTTTACAGTACTGTAAAGTAAGTACCCTCTTACTTTACAGCAAAATTTCTACATTACAATTATGCTTTGAAATAAAAAGCAAGGATTTTGAAATACGGTAGCATTAAAATAAGAAATATATGAAAATTTCCAAGCAAATACAAAATAAATATGGATTTGTTAAAAGTCACTTTTAATTTTGTGTTCATGATTTTTCCTTCTTTTCCATGCTATGGTATTTTTGTTTCATAAGAAATCAAAAGGCTGTCAAAATGCAATAGTCCTTGAGTATGAGCAGGCAACCTTACAAGGACATGATCTAAGAAAGCAGAAGAGGCATGCATAGCAATATATTATGAAATATGTAAAAACATTATTTCCCTGGTTGTTTCTACATGTAGGTGGATGCACATCTGCTTTTCTAATTTCCAAAGGATGCAATTGCTTTAGTGCCTTGAGAAGGAGGCCTGGAGGCTTCATTCCATTAACTTGGTTTGCAAAGCACCTCTTATGAATGCTTTGCGCAGCTTTAAGTTTATATATGCTTTAGCAGATGCTCAGTGTTATATAGAGAATGAAATATTCTTCATTTACCAGTTTAGAAGGTCACTATGTCTTCTGAGGTATTCGGTTGTTAAATTATTTAAATTTAAAATATATATCTTGTGAAATAGCTTGTCAGATTTTACATTTGTTTGTTTCTAATTAAAGTAATAAAAATGTTAATTATATAATAAAATCACCAGTACAAAGAATTTTGCATATCTAATTATGAAATATGTTTTCATCTTTTGTATCTTTCAGACTATATGGGTCAGCACTTATGTGTTTACAGTTTGCTTTGCTGCTAATGTAGGGTTATTGTATGGTGTTGTCTGCACAATACTTATAGTGGTTTTCCGTTTTTCAAGGTGAGATTTTTTAGCATTTTCTGGAAATGCTGAATGATTCTCTTCTGTTCGTGACAAATGTATACTACAAATTGCTTTTGTTATGTATAACTGTTCAGCTTTTTTTTTTTTTACCTCCTACAAATAATCTTGGAAGTTTTAATGAGTTGGAAGTATAATTATTCTGCTGTTTCAGTCAGGTTTATTTTTGACAAGTTTGATTAGAACAGATAAATAGGCCCATAAGGACAGCAAGAACTTCTGATTTATAGTACAAAAGTCAAGAGGGTATTACAAAAGAATTCCAGTGGCTGCTATATATCAAATGCAAGTTCTATGTACATTGCAATAAATGTTCAAATTCCTGTGCCTCTTTCTCTTACCTGCTCTATAAAATAGGTTAGAAATTACAGATAGTCCTTAACTTATGACTATTCAAGCAGAATAATGGCCTCATAGTTATAATGGCCTCGGAAAAGGTGACTTGGCTCATGCAATTGCTGTTTAGGTGCTTGATAATCAGCTTGCATTTATGACAGTTGCCGTGTCTTGCAGTCATGTGATCACAGTTGGCAACCTTTCCAGCTGGCTTCCAACAAGCAAAGTCAATTGGGTAAGCCAGATTCAGTTAATGACCATGTGGTTGGCTTAACAGCCACATAATTTGCTTAAGGACTGCAGTAAAAATGGTCGTAAACTTGAGTCTGGTCACATGATGGTTCACTTAATGACTGCACCAATTACCATCCAAATTCTGGTCCCAATTGTGATCGTAAGTCAAGGACTACTTATACTGTACTTGTTTTGGGGTGAACAAAACCATATCTGTCTTTCCTTGCTTTGGTAACAGACAGACCTGATACCGCATCTTTTTACTTTTGATCACACATGAGAACTAATTCCCACATTTATCTGTGTGACTTTAGCTATAATGACTAAGAATTAGACTAAGATCAAAGATCAAAGTAAGCATTACAAGAGAAATGTGAGATTCCCAAGCAAATACAGACTCGAAGATGATCATCTGAAGGGGAAAAAATAGCAATCAAGAGAAAGGTTAAACATCTGTCTGTTGCTCATCTAATCTCCCCTCACCAGTTCATATTTACACTTCTTCTCTTTTGAATGTGTTATTTATAGTCCAGTGTCCTCCTTCTGTGTTAGGCTATCTCCCCAAATTCATGATCTCAGGATGGTCAATGGAGACCTCTGTGCAGTCCTAATGCACTATAATGCTAAAGTAAATAGTGATTCTAAATAGCTCTTTAACATTTTAAATTTTTATTACTACAAGAAGACGTGGTGAAGTGGTTAGAATGTAGTATTGCAGACTAACTCTGCCCACAGCCTGGAGTTCGATCTTGACTGGCTCAAGGCTGACTCAGACCTTCCATCCTTACAAGGTCGGTAAAATGAAGACCCAGATTGTTGGGGGCAATATGCTGACTATGTAAACTGCTTAGAGAGTGCTGTATAGCACTATGGAGCTGTACACAAGTCTAAGTACTTTTTCTATTGCTATTGCTAGTACCCTAGCAATTGTCATGGAAATTAAAAAAAGTTATGTAAAATCTATTCGGAGAATGCTTAACTTTCATGATCAGCAAGACAACTTAGATAAGTATACTACTTCTATGATTAGCTTAAATATTGATCATTCTTAGAATATAATATTAATGCTATGGATTAAACATGCAAGCATGTTACACTAGGAAATAATTTACAGCATATGGAACACTTGGAATATGACCACACAAAAAACACTTGATTTTTAAAAAGATTTTCTGTTTTATGTATTTGTTACACATTCTTCTATATATTTGTCACAGAGCAACAACACTCAGCTTGAAGCACATGAATGAAACAGAATGCAGATTCAAAACAGAAGTAGACTTTGTAAGCTTAATTTTCTTGTTCTTCTTTATCTTTGGGAAAAATTCTTTGCTCTTCTCCTCTAAAGTTGTTCTATATAGAAATGTAAAGGTTTCAGTTTTTTCCAGATGGCCAAATGTGTGAGGGCCGTGTGTGCAGACTTTGGTCACATGTACTCCAAAGGGATGAGAGAAATATGACTTTATTCATCTCACCTGTTCACTCACAATTTAGTGACAATCCTATTTCATAGCAATTCAAGGCATACCCATGGCATTCCCTTAACTTAAAGTATGACAAAATTATTGGAGAGAAGTCTGGAATCTCTTAACTTGTGGCAGTCAACTTGCTGTGAGTTGATATCTCTGTTTCATTTCCTTTGGGTTTGGATGATAATATTTTATGTTGTACCGTCCATTGAACTTTATAACAAACTGTAATTCCAAAGAAAACATCAAATCTAAATATGAAATTATAAAAATGTAGGATTGCAAGCACAAATTCTGAGAGAATAACAGTATTATTGAGGAATTTATGCATCAGGAGCAATTGCTCAGAGTCAATAATTGTAGTGATATCAGATTTTGCAGGGTTGCAAAAATCCAGACTTCCAAGATATACAAAAACCTCTTCATTGCAGATTAGTACTTTCCCATTATTGTAGCTCAGATCTGTTAGGTCAACTAGTATTATAATTTAACCTAAGTCATGTTGTGATTGGTCTATTTGAAAATGCATTTGATTGTGCTCCCAGTATCCATGTGGGTAATGTAAGGGTTCTATGTTATAAAGCATTTAAAATATTTTATTTTCTAAAGTTTGGGGTTTTTTTTTTATTCTAAAGGAATCTTCACAACCAGTGAAAATAGTGTCAGTCAATAACCCATTAGTCTTTCTGAATGCTAAGAAGTTTTACGCCAATATATTAGAAATAATCCATAAGGAGTGGACATGTCCACAGCAGCTGTCGGAAGATATGACCAAGGTAAGATTCACTTATTAAAGAGAAGGGAAAAGTGAAAATTAACATGGGCTCCAGATTTGCAGTAAAGTGATTGCGTTTTGTATTGCTGGGAAGAGATCGTGACTAAAAATTTCACACCATGTCAAAAGGGGACCTACCGTGCTGAGTTGGACTTCTGTTCTCCCCAGCTCACTTTTGCTTACAGTGACCTATAGCATCTTCCAAATTTCTGAGAAGAGTCCTATATGAATCTCTCTGGGATTGAACCTAGACTCTTTCGTTGCCAGGCATTTTCTCTCCTCCCATTCACCCTATCCTACTCCAATAAAAACTCTCAAATTTTATTTCTGAAATATCTGACTAAAGGAGGTGTGTGGGGTGCAATGGCTCAGCAGTTAAGACAGTGGGCTTGTCGGCTGCAAAACTGACAGCACAGGTTTGAGACCTGGGTGCCGTGCGACGAGCTCCTGTTACTTGCCCAGATCCTGCCCTCCTAGCAGTTCGAAAGCATGCAAATGCAAGTAGCTAGTTAGGTACCACTTCAGTGGGAAGGTAACAGCATTCCACGCGCTTTTGGCGTATAGCCATGCTGGCCACATGACCACAGAAACGTCTACGGACAATGCTGGCACCGTCGACTAAGAAATGAAGATGAGCACCGCCCTCTAGTGTCGGACATGATTAGACAGGAGAAACCTTTACCTTTATCTTTAAAGGACGTGTAAATCTTTAAAGGAGATATAAGTAGGTTGTTATCCATGGAACAATGCTGTTTATTAGAGAAAAACATTGCCTTCCGCCCAATGAATCCTACTCTTGTAAAACAGTTCTGGATCTGCTAGCAGAACACATTTAATTCTATTGCCATAGAAATATTTCTGCTGATTTCACTTAAATGTGGTTGAGAAAAAATAAGATTGATTTTGTTCAAACCAGCAGATGATCCATCACTGTAAGCAGATACAATGCTTTCTAACCATAAATTTTTTTTGAGGGTATGGAATTCAATCAATTAAGATTTGAAATGGCCCTAAAAACAGTAATCTGATTAGAATTAGCAGCTAGGGCAAGAAATTAAGGCGGATAATTCTGATGCTCAGAAGGAACACCCATACATACACACATATAGACTAATAAGGCCTCTGTTGAAATTGTACAAATTGTGATGAGTTGTAGAGGTTGCAGAAAGAATTATATTAAACAGGAGGTATTCTGGGAGTGGACAGAACTAGTCCTTTGAAGATGATTAGGCAAATTCATAGAATGAGGAGCTTTCAGTGTCATTTTAAGTAGTCCTCAGGCATAATACCAGTGGATGTTATCTACTAAAGAGACAACAATAAGTGTTTTATAACCTTTCAGAGCTGCCATAAATGATTTAGCTGTGTTCTAAAACTTAATGGATTTGGGGTTTAATGTAGTAGATAGCTATAGAAATAGAAGTGAGGGAATCAAATGGAAGCAAGTTCCTTTCTATTTAAAGCTTGAGAATTTAAATGTATTTTGCTGTAGCAGTTATAGATGTGGCTCTTCAATTGTCCAATTATTACCAGAGAAAGGATATTGCACTCAAATAAGAGACTGAATCCATCAATACAAATAGAGAAATCTGCCTGCACAACTTCATTGTTCATTTCTGTCTAGAAAAGAGAGGCCTTGAAATGCAGTTAGCATTGAGGCAAGATACACATCTTGTCAAACAAGGCATACTGTCAGGCTTGAAAGACCAGATCTACACATGGCAGTTCAATTAAACATATTTATTGCTAAAAACCTATGCACAGGAATCTTCTCAACTAAAGATCAGCACTTGCTTCCAGTTAGACAAGGGTCAATGGAATTTAAGAGGAGTTGGACTTGGGCTTAGTTCGCTTGTTGCTATGTAAGGATTCTAGGCTGATACCTCTTTTAACTCTGTACCCAGATTCTGCCTCTCCTTTTTCTACACATATAGCTAGTCCTCACTTGCTAACTCCTGTTTAGTGACTAAAGTTATGGCCAGGCTAAAAATTAATTTTACAATTGGTTTCACACTTACAATTATTGCAGCATCCTCACAGCCATATAATTATCATTTGCATGCTTTCTAGGCCTCTGACAAGCAAAGTCAATAGAGAAGCTGGCAGTAACATCACAGGTTTTGATCATGTGATGTCTCACTTAACAGCAGCAGATTGTGAGTCTATCGCAGACATGTGTCTCTCTCTTAGCGACTGTGTTCCAGTTGTCATTGTTAAGTGAGGAATGCCTGTAGATGCCTTTTGAGCACCCCTTCTGCCTTTCATTTTTCTTCTCAAATACTACCAATCTCTCCCTTCCTGGTTTAAAGCAAATAATACTTTTCTGTTTGTCCTAATCTGATAATCTATGGTTTGAATTTACCTGAAAACAATGATCGAACACCAGAATAAAAACATAATTCATTTGTAAAGGAAATGCATCAAGCATTGTTTCTCAAAGCAAGAATGGAGCTAGGGAATCAGTGTTGGGGGAAAGTGGGATACATAAACACGAGGTTTTTGAAGGTTATCTAGAAACAGTGGCTTGATTTTACCTATGAATCAGGTATGTGTGCCTATGCCTGGATGCTGATAGTTTTACACCTGGAGGGAAGCATGTTGGCTTATTTCATGCACAGTCTTTTAGTTAACTTTAAAGTTAATCAATACTTTCCACCCATGTTACTACAGCGAATGAAATAAATAAATAAAATGATTGGGTTTTGCCTCTGTGTCAACGCTGTTCCAGTAAATAATAAAAAAAACCCTGGGAAGTATGCAGCTTTCCCATTGTTATTATTCATTATGGGTTAGTTTTGCATCCCAGGTAATAACAATGCTGTAAATTTTCCTCATAGCCGTAGCAATTCTTGAAAATGTGATTCTGTAAACATGCTTCTGGGGAAACTGTGTTAAAATTGCCTTTTAGTTTTTGTTTGATCTGTATATAATATGACTTTTTAAATGATAATATTGTTGCTCTGGTGGCCACGTTCTTGAAGGTCTATCATGAAGAAACTCTACGATTTCAGAAATAGTGTAAAAATAACTATCAAGGCAAGGCAAATACACTGTATTCATAACAGTCAGAATAACTATTTTTTGAAGCAGAAAATAAGATTTAACATTGCAGACAATCACGCTGCTTTGCTTTTTGTTTCAGCATGAACAGAACATACTACTCACTTCATTATCCAATGGAAACTGCCATGGTGAGTGAATAATTCAAGAAATAATCAGTTTAAAGCTTGCTGCCCCACTTATGTCAACTCCCAGGAGGTCAATCAACATTATTCCAGGAAAATACCTTTGTGAGCTTATCTACAAGGTTGGCTCAAAGTGCAACATAGGAAATTTTCTAAGTATAAATGTACAAGATTCTCAAAAATCACTTTGTAATTCATTGGATTTTATATGGTAAAGTATAAGTAAAGTATGCTATCTTCCTAGAATTGGTTTACTTAGACATATTGTCACACTGTGTTCTCAATGAGACCCTCCCCTTAGTACTGTAGACCGATACAATATAGCTGATATCCCTATTGTATCTGAGGAAAAGGTTGTGATGGAAGAAGAGCTTGGATTTTCTTTTCTTTTTTTTTATTGAAAATTTTTAAAAGTTTTACAATATAACTCCCCTCCTCCCCAAAACCCACCCTTCCCCACCCCCCTCCCTCCCCCCCGACTTCCCAGAGCCACACACAGGGTTAACAATACAATAATTATACTCTATCTTAGATTATGTCACCCTTACATTAACAATTCTATAACATCCTTTAGCTCTCTTCTGAACAAACATGTTAAACATCATTATTACTAATTAAAAAGAAATAAACTACATTAACAATCTAAAATTTACTCAAAAACCAAATGAAACTTTTTAGTTCCATATTTATTCTCAATATAATCTATCCATCTTCTCCAAACCAAAATATATCTTTCTTGTGAGTAATGCTTTACGTAGGCTGAAATCTTAGCCATTTCTGCTAGGTTTGAAACTTTAAATGCCCAATCTTCTATAGTGGGCAAACCTTCCATTTTCCAACATTGAGCTACTAATAATCTTGCAGCTTGGATTTTCTTAAAGTTTTTCTTAAATGATGAAAACTAGAGAACCCTGTGAATGTTTGAGTGAAAGAGCAACAAGCATGTGCCAGAAATCCCAAAAGTGCTTTTTAAAAGACAACTGAACTTTCTTGGTTTTTTTCCCCTGAAAATCTTTTGCTTCTCATCCAAGAAGCTTCTTCAGTTCTGAAGTGGGGATATAACCTACAGACTAGCATGTCCTCCAGAGTAATTCCAGTAGTATTTCCTTTTTTAGTGGAACAACCCTACTGCTTAGAACAGGGGTAGGCAACCTTGGCTCTTTTATGACTCGTGGACTTTTATGACTCGTGGCTGGCTCAGGAATTCTGGGAGTTGGAATCCACGAGTCATAAAAGAGCCAAGGTTTCCTACCCCTGGCTTAGAATAACCTATTGTTATCTGACTTCCTTGGACTATTGTCATGGTGGCACAGTGGTTGGAATGCAGTATTGCAGCTAATTCTGTCTACTGCCAGCAGTTCTATTCTTATCAACTCAAGATTGATTCAGCCTTCCATCCTACCAGAGTGGGTAAAATGAGGACCCAAATTGTAGGGGGGGGGCAATATTCTGACTCTGTAAACCAGTTAGAGACTATAAAGCACTATGGGGCAGTATATAAGTCTAAGTGCTTTTGCTATTACTATATCTCCACACTTAAAGCAGATATTTGCCCTGGATCTTGCTTATTTTCATGGATTATACTTCTAGGAGCCGTGGGTTCCTTGTTCATCCTTCAGTTCTTCTAATGTCACTGACCTTGTAGGGAATTAGAAAAATGGCTTATATCTGTAGCCTTAGCAGCTTGACAAATGTACAGAGTCCACAACCTGGAAAAAACCCCAAAATAATACAGGTTGCCATTCATACCTGGATGGAAAGGCCCATATCTGTCAATTTCTAGAAAAGATTTATTCATATGAAATTTTCTACTTCTTTCAGAAGGGAATATGGATCTAAGAAGTTCATCCTTACAGCAACATCCAACTGAAAGGCAAAATCTAATATTTGATTGCAGTGGCTTGACTTTCTTTGACTACACTGGTATCTCTGTACTTATTCAGGTATTTATGATCTTCTATATCTTCACCTTCATCTACTTTTTAAATAAAACTCATTCTACATTTAGTTGGTTGAAGCTGCCAACAAAGTTAGAAGACTGGTACTGTTTGCCTCCTTTTTTTTGAACTATTTATCTTTACTTCAAAAATATTGCAACTCCACAATTTAGAACTATGTACTTCTTGATGTTCCTGAAATAGGCATAAAACTATTGTGATGTTCCTTATTATTGGATTTTAGAGAAGTCAAAATTCTTTGTAAACAGGATGACTTTAAATGTGATTAGCAACACTCTGAATTTGACCCAGAAGCAACCTGGCACCCAATGTGGCTTGTGTGGCAAAGGTGTTACATCGTAACTCTAGGAATGCCCAGGAATGTGCTGCTACATTCTGTACCAGTTGCAGCTTCCAGATATTCTTCAAGGGTAGCCCATGTAGAACACATTGTAATAGTCCATATAAGAGATGACCAGGATGTGAATGTCTGAGCTTAATCGAGGAAAGGGTGTAACTGACACCCATGAAGTTGTGCAAAGGCCCTCCTAGCCATGACTGCCCCCTGCTCCTTGAGCAGGATCTGTGAGTCCAGCAGGATTCACAAATTATGCACCAGGTCCATCTGGGGCAGTGCAAACTTTTCCAGAACCAAAGATGATAAACTTCCAGACACAGAGGTGTCTCCCATCCACAGCCACTCTATCTCACCAGGCTTCAGCTAAAACATATTCCCCATCCAGACCTCCACAGCCTCAAAGCACCACAAAAGGGCATCCACAGCATCAGTTATTTTGCTTGGGACAGAGATATATATCTGGGTGTCATCAACACACTGATGATACCTCATCTCATGGTGAATGGTGATCTTATCCAGTGACTTCATGAAGATGTTAAAAGAAGTAGTGAGAGCATTGAGTCCTGCAGCACCCCATGGAGCAAGGAGGTAAACCAGCACAAAACTGTAGCTCCCATCCCCAGCTCCTGAAGCCAACCCAAAAGGATATCGTGGTTGATGGTATTGAAGACCATCAAGAGGTCAAGAAGATCTGGGATCTTCTGCACTAGGCCAATCCTGCTTCCACCAGAGATTATCCAAAAGTGTGACCAATGTCATTTCAGTCCTGTATGCAGGCCTGAAATTCACTGGAGGGATCTGGATAATCCAACTCATCCAGGACCTCTGGAACTGCAGTACAACTGCTTCTCAACCACCTTCTCTAGAAAGTGGTTTTAGTGATAATCCAAGTAAATCTACACATCGTAAAATTAATAAGCATACCAGAATTTTTTCTTTTAAACTCCACATTTTATCAAGTTTTGCAGTAACAACTGATACAATTTACACTAGAATATAGTGCAAATAGAACATGTTTTGTAATGCATGTTTTATCTAAACACATTATTAGATAACGTATTTTAATATTTTTTTTTCAAATTCACAAACTAAAGCAGAAATGGATGAACAAGAAACTGTTCACAGAAATAGGTTATCAAGTAATCTCTTCATTGTTTCAGGATGATGATGGCTCCTGCTTTTTGACAAAATATGATTTTGTTCTTTTTTTCCAGTTTCTGTTCCAGAGCGTCTTCCCTTTTCTATAAATATGACTTATCCAAAATCTTTGGCATCTTTGTTCGCTTGGCTTTTAGATTTATAGCTGCTGAGAAGTTTACCTAATAAAATCTGAAGAGTGAAACATGCCATTTTTGCTCCTTATTATTGCTTTGTAACTGAGTGAGAGAGAAACAGTCGAAGAGTCAAGCCATATGACATGTCTTGTTTGTATTTTATTTTATTTGTTTTTGTGGAGAACATTACTGGGTGTTTCTGAAAATCTTTGCCAGGTTAAAGATGGTAAAGTTTCCCCTTAACCAACCATCACCTGAGCAGTTTCACTGTCCCTGAAAGTATCAGCAATGGTAATAATAATGGCCATGTACATCTCCTTCAGTGAGCCTTCAAAATGATAATTTTGTACAGTGAGCCTTCAAAATGATAATTTTTATATCTGTCAGTTCCCATCCATTTGAGACATTCAAGAATATATTGTCCCAGCAGAAGCTCTCTAAAATTACCTTTAGGCTTGGTTTTAAATAAAACTTGGGAAAGAAAAGTAGAGGGAATTCGTGGTATAGGTGTAATAGGTGTAATCTGTTTTCAAACTTTTTTCAATTCTTGTGTATCAGCACAGCTACCTACAGCCTATCTCAGCATTTAAAGTCACTCAATGGAGAAGAAACATTTTGAATATTGTATTAATTGCAGATTAGGTAGGGAACAGCTACAGGATAATTATTCATTTCATACTCTTTTTGGCTTTCCAAGAAAGATAGTTGTTGAGAAACAAAATGTAGGACAGACTTTCCTCCATCAAACCATTTACTCTATTGCACTGTATAAAGTTGCATTTGTTACAAAACCATGTTATTTTAGGGAATGTTTATATTATAGAACACCTCCCCCTAGCGGCTATTTGGAATACAGCTTGTGATCACCTCCCTCCCCCAACATGCAATGTATTTGGTAAGACCTTCAAATAAGTCCAGAACAAATGTTTAATTGTTTTCAACTTTTATATACAAAATTAGTGGACCATGTAACAGTTGAATCAAACCCTGCATCCTTTTTTAGTTTGTAACCCTCTACCATTCAAATTACTCTTTCAGATTCTTAATATTTTGCTAGATTTTGTCTCTGGATTTCATTTAGTAGCTATGTATTTGGCATTCTATTAATCCTTCCCAAGGATTAATATGCCTTTCTTTCTTCTGCATGTAAGAACTGATTTCAGATAAATTATTTCTTGGTTTTTTGTTCTTTGATTCCTGAAGTTAAAGCATGTGATATAATATACTGTAGATGCTATTATCACTTTAGACCATGTTCCTGTTCGGCTCATTGCTTTGAAATGCATGGACATTTGTTGAATGAATCATTGCTAAAAAAAAAAAAAGATTTTGTAAAGCAAATACAATAGGGAATTATTCTGTCATTATTCTGATAGAAAACAGAGATTATGTTAGATATATGAGACACTGCTGAAGCATTTCTTCAGAGTCTCACTATGGCATAAATTTCGTACTAATTTGCCAAAATTTAATTTTTAGAGGCAGGCATTAAAAAGAATTATTATTGCTTTATGAACCCCATCCATCTCATATAATTGACTGTCATTCACTCCTCACTGATTCTCTCCATGTGACCAGGCCATTCAATGATTTTGTTTTGGTACTGATCACTTAGTTTTGCATTTAATTCACATACATTCAGCATCCTTTCCTTCTTGAGCCTCTGCATTCTTGTTCACCATTTACAGTTCTTAAGCAACCGATTCCCACAGCATCAACCTCTATGCTTCTGCTGTTATACCAACTGTCACTTCATAATACAAGGGGCCGAACCACAATCTTACTTTATGCTTAGCCATTTTTCCTTGCTGTTGAAAAAACATTTTTTCCTTACAACAGGCCACCTCCTACCTCCTACCTTTCTATAAGAATTTCCATATATTAAAATTAGTCTACATTCTACTAAAGTAAAATACTCTGATTTTTAGCACGTAAGTATAACTTGCAAATGTTCATTTCATTTTCCCTGTCAAGCACAACTATTCATTGTATTGTACTTTGGGGCAGTCTTTCTCTCTCAGGCCTAGGAAGAAAGCCATGACAAAGCACTTCTGAAAGTGTCAAGAAAATATGTGGACTTGTCCAGGCAATTGGTATGAAAGGAAAATAAAAATAAAAATCCTGTATTAGTCCTTAGGCAGCCGAACAAAATTTATCTTAAGTCTTAACAAACTTTCTGAAAGAAAATGATGCAAAGCAAATGAGATAGGAGGCTATGAAAGCAGTATAAGGAGAATGCATAAACCAGTTAAGTTTAATTAAAAAGAAATCCTCACAATTAGTAAGAAAATTAGATTTAGAAATCAAAGAGTTATTGGCAAAATAAAATAAGACAGACTCCTGAAGTGTGCATAAACAAAAAGAGAGCTGAGTGTTTTAGAAATTAATAAAATCTGAAGAGCTTTTTATCTATATTAAGAATATTACAAATCTTGAAAAAAAAAGATTGCTAATAATGACATTGAAAAATGTAGGGTAAATAATATTTTAGAAAAATAGAAAGATCGGTGTTTTGGGTTATGTTCTCATTCTTTGTCTACTTGACATAAGAATTAATTGTATTAATGTTATTTATTAACATTGTATTCTTTTGTACTTTTTTATTTACATAACAGTTTAAAAATAATGCTTCATATTCTTCAATAATATATGTTAATATTTCCTCTCTTTTAGATTTATATGGATGCTCAAAAAAATAATGTAAATGTTTTTCTGGCAAATTGCAAAGGCAGGTATCAATTTTCAGTGAAGATAATTTTTATGAATTATGTTTAATTTGTGGTGTTCCTGCTCCTCTTTTACAAAGCCACATTCTCTTATTACAGTCTCTTTGAAAAAGGCATTGAATCTCAACGGAAAGCTAGAATTAGAAAATGCTGTCTTCCATGAGTCAGTTTCTTCGGCTGTTTCTGCCATCCAATTTAGCAGGGTGAGTCTCGGAGTATGAGAAAAACAGATGCTAAGAGGCTAACAGAGGTTACCTCAAGTCTTATTTCTAAAGTGGAAACCCAATTTACAAACAAATAGGAGAAAAGAAAATGCTCAGCCCTTATGGTTTGTGTGTATGTGTGTGTATGTGTTTACTTGTGTATGTGTGTATGTGTTTACTGGATGAAAACTAATCAAAGAGAGAAGCAACCTAGAACTAAGGAGAAATTTCCTGACAGTTAGAACAATTAATCAGTGAAACAACCTGTCTCCAGAAATTGTGAATGCTCCATAACTGGAAGTTTTAAAGAAGACACTGGGCAACCATTTGTCTGAAATATAGGGTTTCCTGCCTAAGCAGGGGGTTGGACTAGAAGACCTCCAAGGTCCCTTCCAGCATTATGATTATGATTATGATTAATCTAATATTCAAGAACTCTAAGAAAGCAGGTCCATTTCTAGCTTGCATAGTTTATTACCACTGATAGCATCTTTTAATCTTTCATTAGAGTGTTGCCATTGGGACTGTTGTTACCTACAATAGTGAAGTTCATACATGAATTAAAGATTATGTGAACTTTGAAATCCCCCTTTCCCTGCTAATTTCATTGGGTGGCTTGAGATTTTATGAGTTGAGAAGGGTGAGTTATGGCTTTCCAACCCACTCTTCTTGCCATACCATCTTCTGAATCTATGGACTCATCCTCATATTCCACTTACCATAAAGTATTGAAGAATATGACATCACCTTTGAAGAGTATTGAAGAATATGACATCACCTTTGTCTCATTCCCAGCTCCCAGAGAAGCAGCTTAGATTTGTTTTTCTGATGTTAAAGTCAGGTTTTTCCTCTTCTTCTGGCACTCACCTTTCTGTATAAATGATCTACATCTAACCAATGATAGGTTCAATGACACTCAGTGGCTGAGACCTATCAGTTCTTATTAGCCATTATAGGTGGCTGTGGGTGTGCATCCTTTCATCTGGTTTCTTGGCACTGTTTTCCAGGTCTGTTTGCTTTTGGTACCAGCAGATAACAGTTTTTTACAACTAGGATTTTCAAAATAGCCATCTCTCTCCACCTTACCTCCACTCCTCTAAGAGCTGAAAGTAGGTTTTTCTTTTTTCACCAATTCTTCGGTTACCAGAAACTACACTGTGGGATTGGAGAGCCGGTGGGTATTTTCCAATTCCATTCTTTTTTTTCATTTTCCACTTTCCCTAGTATTTTTCCAGGCTAGCAGGGATTGGAGACCATATCCTCCCATCTGCTTCTTTGGGCATCTCACCCAACACTGGAACTATGCTTGGGGAGCTGACAGTTTTGTGCCAGTCTCTCTGATTGCATAGGGCTGAACCTGCAATTAGACATCTATTAGGGAAGTACAGAGTTCCCCACAGCCAGCACCACTGACTAGCTGTGGGGAACTGACAGAACTGACCAGAAGGATACAGGTATGTCCTTGACTTACAACTGTTTGTGTAATGGTTGTTTGAAGTTGACAGCCTTTGAAATAGTGACCTAGGACTCTTCCTCAAAGTTATGACCGTTACACCATCCCCACAGTCACATGATCACAATTTGGATGCTTGGCCCCATCATCTCATTTGTTTTGCCCTTTCATTCATTAATGTTTCCAATGCATCCACCACATGATAAAAGTAGTTTACAACTTCTGTGACAAAAAAAACATTATGCATATTTCTGTTGGAACCCATATAATTGAACATAAACTATGCTTTTGTGTGTGCAGTTTTATGAGGCGTAAATTTATTTTGTAATGCAAGCTCCTATAAGCTTCTTTTCTGTAACTAAACCACATCTTCAGGCTATGTAGAGCATTTCCGTTTTTATTGTTTTAGATATATGAGTTGGTCTGAGCTTAAGAACAAGTCCCCTCCAAAAGAAAAATGCAAAACTAATTAATGAGCTGTTACCTTCTTTTTCTCCATCTTATTACCATAAACATTCCTGTAAGTTAAACAAACCTAACTATTATGCCTTTCCCACTGAAGTTACTTAACTTTGATCAACCAAGTTAAAAAATTTAGTGACATTTGTTTAGATGTATTACAAAATAGAGGGCACATCATACTTAACCTTTCAAACCTCCACCCTCTGCTTTTCCTTATATAAAGTAAAGAATCAAGAAAAAAATAATAAACACTTCCTTGAAGATTCCCTTAGTAGCAAAAAATAAGGACAGCTAATACTGCAGCTGTTATTTATAGCCATGCAATAATCTTGGAATTAACTCTACGGTTTATCCCCTACTTCCCAAATCAAACAATCACAATCATGATTATTTCAAATTGTTGTTAGAGACTCCAGAGATACGGTATATACGTAATTTAATGAACAGGCCCAGTGCCAATCAAATGCTAGGGCCCACTGCAATTGATGTGAATAATCTACATCTGCCAAGTTGGATTTCATTCAATTTCTCATTTTTCTAGTTCTATATTTAGTCCATCTTGTTTCTCCATCAATTTCAGTGAAAAATAAACAAACAAACATGAAAATGTTTATTCAGTTATGTGCTCATTTCCTGATTATATATATTTTAGACACATTTCTTGTGCACTATTTGTGCAAAGAATTTTATTATGCCTTTTTCTGTGTATCGTTAGCAAATGGAGTGTAAAATTTGAGAAAGAGTTGTTGTCAACACATAACAGCACTGGAATAGGTTTGCAAAGTGTGAATGAATTAACTCAGTAGCACAGTTGGCTACATGATCTGCCTACCTACCAACTGGTAGGCAATGAGATGATGGGAAGGAAAGGTAAAACTTACTAATGATAGATTTCTTAGAAGATAAGAAGATCGGTAAATTTCAGGGTTTAGCAGCTTGAAGATTTGAAGTGTAGGAACTGCCTTCATTGATGTCATGACATTGAACTGCAAGATGGGTGGCAAATAAATTTAATTAATAAATCAATAAAATAAGATAGTCTTGATTTGGATTTAGTTATCCACGATGCATGCCTGATTCTGATAGCTGTTCACAAAATACAGGATCTTACTGTCTTTCCCCCAGATTGTAGGTGTCAAATCTCAGCAATCAGCAATCAGCAGAGCCAGTGACTTCTTTATTTCAAGAACTGAGTTAAAGGATTCCCTTGTGCTTAGTTGTTCAGTCTCTAGTCAGCTCATATTTGGACTATTGTAATGCACTCTACATGGGGTTACCCTTGAAGAGCATTTGGAGGCTACAACTGGCGCAGGCAGTTTTGGGGCCCCCAAGAATGGCCCGTTACACCACTGCTCCGCGAGCTGCATTGGTTGTCTGTCTGCTTCCGGGTGCAATTCAAGGTGTTGGTGATCACTTTTAAAACCCTTCATGGCATGGATCCAGGTAACGTGAGGGACTGTCTTACCCCACTGGGATTGGTCCATCCCACTTGTGCTGACAGAGAAGGCATGCTGCAGGTCAGGTCAGCCCAATTATTCTGACTGGTGGGGTCCAGGGGGAGGGCCTTCTTTGCTGTTGCTCCTGCCCCCCTGGAACATATTGCCCCCTAATGTGAGGTTGACCCTAACCATCCTATCTTTTCTTAAGGGCCTAAAGACCTGGCTCTCCCAGTTGGCCTGGAGGCCCAGTGGGGGAACAGCATAGTGGAGGTGGTTGATAGAGTAACAACAGATCTCACCTTTCCCCATTCTGCCCCCGCCCTCCCCATGTGTCCTTGATTTTAATCTTTGGTTTTAATCTATACAGCTTTTAATGTACATGTATTTTTTATGTCTGTAAGCCACCCAGAGTTACCTTATGGTAAGATGGGCAGCCAATACATTTTATTTATAAACAAACAAACAAACAAACAAACTGGAAGTCTTCTGAACATTTGCTGGCTGGAAAATATAGGAGCTGTAATCCACTACATATGGAGGACAGCAGGTTGGAGAAGCATGGTTTATGTTACACTTTTTTCTTGCAATGGAGAATACACCTCTCTTTCATTGATAGAAGATTGTAAATAGGAAGCTTGATTTTAGCACTGTTTCATTTTTCAAAGAGATAACGAGAGAGAGAGAAAGAGAGAGAGAGAGAGAGAGAGAGAGAAATATGCATGTACATGTGAGGGAGATCTGCAGTTAAGAAATACAAAATATAAATAAATATGCACACAGTAAAATGGCTTTCTTTTTTACATTTCAGAACTTTTGCAAGTTTAATGAATGTACTGAGATTTGATGCCAATCTGATTGCAGTCTGTCTATCAAACTGCTCACTTACAGAAGGAATGGTGCCAAAGAATTTCTTCAGATGTTTAAACATGGGATTTTGTTGGTGATAATTGCTAAGTATATTTAACAAACCAACAGCAGCCGTGTTTTCTGCCTATATTTCCTGAAGGTTTTTCTCTGAATTAAGTTCAGTGGCAGGGTTTATTTTTATAAACTTAGATTCTTCTTCAATGATCACATATTTTTCTATGCATGAAGAGTTAAGAAATAGAAAGCAATTTAAGATACTACTGTGATGTATGCTGTTTTAACTGTCTTATTACAATTTAAAAGTATAAGTTTGTGCAGAAAAGAATGCAACCTCATTGAATTTTGTAGTGCAATGTATCTAATCCAAAATATGTCATTTTTTACGTGCAATTGCAAACTGCAATAAAAAGTCAATTTTTTTGTTAAATACAGTATCTGAAATTAACAATCATATTTTTCCACTTTCACATTCTGCTAAATACATTGAAGTTATTATTTTGAATTTTGTCTATTTATTGCATTGTTTTAAATGAGGGATATAAAAGAATTTCATTATAAATTCCTTTGAGAATAAATTTTAAGTTTCTATATCAGTAGTATCCTGGCAGGGAAAATCATTGCCATAAACCAGTGATGGCGAACCTTTTAGAAACCAAGTGCCCAAACTGCAACCCAAAACCCACTTATGTATCATCGGGTGCCGGGTGGGCGTGGCCTATTGGGTGGATGTGGTCCATTGGGTGGGCGTGGCTGCGGTAGTAATGGCAGACTGGGTGGGACTAAAAAGTTCAATCAATCAATTCCAACTTTGCGAGATCTTTTTTTTCCCCGCAAGAAGTTGAAATTGATTGATTGAACCTTTTTTTTTTTGCACATGACGGTGGAGGCCTAAAGCGAAAAAGGTTTTATAAAACCCAGCTGAAGGCCTAGGATTGGGACCATGGCACGTGTGCCCACAGAGAGGGCTCTGCGTGCCACTTATGGCACGCGTGCCATAGGTTCGCCACCACGGTCATAAACAAAGGCTAACTAGCATTTGTTCTTCTGTCAAAAAATATATGAAAGGTTACAAAGGTCTTATTATTTTTACATGCACAAAGTAGCCAAGGGATTGTTGCAACCTTGAAAGGCCAAATGTAGCTATAGCAAAGGCAGACCTATTTCCTATCATTGACCTAGCATGGGATGAAGCTTCTATCATTCATATGAGAAGGTATCTTTTAATTTAAAAAACTCCCTCATCAAAAACTGCTGAACCAGTAAATGTCCTTATCAAGGCAAGCAATAAAAACAGCACATTTTAGAGTGCACAGAGCCATGTCTTATTTATCTTCATTTTAATTTACTTTCTTCCCCATAATTATGTATTGCTTCTTTCCCCCAAATTATGTATTCCTTCTTTTTAATTTTGGACTGTTGTGAATGTAAGTTAAAGTAGCACCATTAAGTTCATCAGAATATACTAATGTAAAATGTTTGGGAGGATCTAAACAAGACTTATTTTTAAACTACATTGTAAAGGAAAGAATCTGTATTTTCATATCAATATATTTGCATGAGAAGAGCTAAAGTGATCTGCATACACACAGGGAGAATAATTCTAACCGTAACTGTGAAAAAGTAATCAAAACCTTGTAGTTAGCTTTAAGTTTGAATGAAACCATGCTTTGTTTGAAACAGGAGATGCTTTTGATCTACCCTTATGATCAGATGTGGTGAGTATGCAGAAAATATAAAACTAAATAAATGTATCCATCAACATTTTCTGTGCAGTCAAGACAAAAATACTTTTTTCTCAACCCTTGGGTAAACCTGAAAAATGCCTCCACAAAAGCAATTGCTTGAGATGCCTCATTTAGTAGTCTCTTCATTTAGTTAAATGTTATTGTCTGGTCTCCCATTGGGCTGTATTACTTCTCATCAGCAAGGGGGGGCAGTGGTTCCAAAGAGCCTGCAGGTGTTCGACAATTAAATCTTTTAGACTGGATTTTTTAGGCTGAAGCTAACAAAGATGAAGTTCAGTTAAAGACAGTCCATAAGAAAGGGTCCAGCAGCAATGAACTCAAAGATTTCTGTTTGCTGTTTTGAAAATAGTTTGTGTGACTTGTAAAACTAGTGGTATAATGTTGATTAAAATCCAATCAATGGAAAATATATTTCTATATTGGGTGTGGAGGGCTAGCCCATTCAATTTTCCTCCTGTCTCAAAATTCCACATTATCCCCAGGCCGTGGCTTTTCTGCTCTTCTGCATTCTGAAAAAGACCAGCAAAATACAAAAGAGAAGGGTAAGAGGACAAGGCATTGTGCACTGTTATATTTATGTCATAATCCAATCTGGGTTCCATTAAGGCAGTGTTTCTCAACCTCATCAGCTTTAAGATATGTGGATTCCAGCTCCCAAAATTGCCCATTCAGTATTCCGGAAGTTGAAGTCCACACATTTTAAAGTTGCTGATGGTGAGAAACACTGCACTAAGGTATGTAGATAAGGAAGGGTTCAGAAACTGAAGCCACACTACCCACTATGCTTCTTCTTTCCAAACCTTCAGTTTGTCTTGTTACAATTCCCATAGCAGAGGAAGGGGTCTTTCAAGGAAAGAATTAAACTCCAGTACACATATAATTAGAGCTGTAACATAATCCAAACTGGACACGGAATAATCTGAACTATTGTCCATATCAGAAACTTTGTTATTCTTCTGAAGCTGATTCAAGAGTTGGTGAGCTTCTCACATCATTTTTCATTATGGAGCTATAATCACTATAATTACTAATAAAAAGTGCTTCAGGTGATGTGTCCAATTTCTGCCAATTCCCCAATTGTAATCTTCCACCGACATCCCATGTTTTTGAAAATCATCCAGAGTTCTGCAGGCATAATGGGAAAGGTTAGCAAAAACAAAAATGCCAACTTGCTGAAGAAATTATAGCTAGAACCCCACAAACATTTGTTCAGTATAAAGGCAAGTTAACTGAAAATTCAACTATGGGCAGTTCAACATTTCTCCCCTGCTAGCCTTATTATGGTTATGATCAGTCAATGTGCCAAGAATGTAGAGAGCTTCAGGCAGTCACACTTAAATTGCCTCATATTGTGTTTGATTATGTCAGTTGTTTACATTGATGATGCAGAACATAGGGTTCATTTTCTAAACTGGCATTCTTGAAGGGTCAGTTAAATTACAGGTGGGTATAAACTCAAACAATAACAACCAGAAACCTTCCCCTCCCATAGGATCTGAGTCTTTTAACTCCTTCTTTTGTTTTAATTCATAGAGGTAGAACAAGTCTAATTAGAATAGAAATGAGGAGAGATCATTTTTAAAGAGAGCAAAGTAATATTTAGCTATCATCTCTGACATAATGATAGTCTTTTGTACCTAAAATATATTAAATGTTATTTGGACATGCAGTAACAGATTACTGGCCGATTTGTAATGTGTATTCTGCCATTCTTCATTTTAACATGGGTCATTGAGTAAACCAGAGTTGGCTGAGATTACACAACAATTATCCTAATAAACCATAATGGCAACATATGGACAAACTAGAAACTGAAAAACAATCTATAGCTTGTCTTAGGACATTATGTTACTGAGTTTTAGCTGGAATGCTATTTATGGACTAAGCCCACAGATACAATCAATATTTCACAAAAAGTGACAATGGACATAAAACCATGGGGTTTGTTTATGCATACATATATATGGTGTGCGTGTATGTATGTATGTGTGTGTAAATATATATCTGCTGGGGGAAGCAAGAGAGTTAGATTGAGGAAGGAGAAGGTTAAATTGACTAAGGAGCACTATAGCATTGTCAGACTAGGCCTGTTCCTTTTCTAGGTATGCTGTAATGTAGCACACATAGCCCAAAGTGTGGCACAATTTCATTTTGACAAAAGTAGCAGCTTCTTGCTGACACTTCTGTTGACAATAATCTGCCAAATATTTTTGCACTGTTTTTTGCACTGTAAAAAATGCCAGGGAGATAAACAAAAATTATGGGCAATTTCTTTCCTTAATCTCTAAGTTTTAAAAGATGAAAAATGTATTTAAGTCCCATCTCATTCATTTTATAAAACATTCAAGGCAAAAATATATAGTTGCAACTCCTTTATCCTCACAAAAAAAACCTTGGGAAGTAAATTAGATACAGAATGGGTCCTAGATTACCCACTAAACTGATGTGAATCAAGGTCTCCCCAGTTTGGTCTGGCACTCTATACTACAAGACTGGTTTAAATAATTGATAATGTCTCTCTTCCATTTGTTAAGTGGAATTATTGATTATCAAAGCCAACAGGGAAATGAAACAGATAGACATTCAATACAGATAACTTTCTAATGAAGGATACTTGTTCTATAGTGAGTTGAACCCAAAGGATTATTAAGTAATGTGTGAAAGACTTGAGAATTGGAGAAGTGGATTTGCTTATTGCATGTATTATGGATGCAATATTGTGTTATTGTACTTTTTAGTTATGAAACAATTAAGTGATATAAGAAGCTGTCTTGCATTTCATTTTTTCATGTTGGCAGTTTTATGTTTTCCACACTTCTAGGACATCCTAAGGAAAGAGTTTATGAAAGAAGACTCACCAGCAGTCCTGGTATCATTACAAAGAAGAAATTATTCCCTTGAGAAAATTACTGATGAATTTTTCCTTCTCCTATAGTAATTCAGAACACTAGTCTAGCCAGATTCACTGCCTGCAAATCAAGGAGAGAATGTTGTCTATCTCCAGCTTACTTTTATTGTTATAATATTGAATAATTGAATAACTAAATTGATACGATTTATCAATCCCTTACCCCAAAATAAGTAATAGCCTTGAATTTTAATGCTTTTGTAAACAAGTATCAGAGGAATGCTGCTTTGGCACACTGAAACAACCAATACTTTAACATTATTCTAACGTAGATTTTTAAGTGCAAATTATCAGTTACGTTTATTAAGAATACCCACTTAACAAAGGGGCTGATACTAAATAAACTGAATGTTGCTATGAATCCCTAGGACACAACATCTGCTCCATAAAATTTAACTCAGCCATTCCAACCATTTGTCTCCACGATGTTACTTTATAGTTTCTCAAAAGAGCTATTTTTCTCCTCAGGACACACAGGTTTTCAGACAGCCTCCCAGAGGCCAAATGTCTTTGTCAGTTCTCTAAGCAAAGTAAGTTTGAGGCAGATGACAGAAATACCATATTAACATGAGAAGAAAAGACTATTTGCTCATTAAAAGGAGGAAATATAAATATTTTTATTTCTTCTTTCCCTGAGACTCAGAAAGATCCCTTCCCATTTTTGCATTGTACTGATTTCTGCCTACACAATGAGCTTAGTTATTTTATGTGTTCCAGTTAGCAGTTTAGCTGATGTGCAAATGGTCG